CATGATGAACTCGACTTGAACTCCCCGTCAAGTTCGTTGGTGAAGCAAGGCGGTGACAGAACACCCCTCCACCGAAATTTTCGAGTAAGAACAAGGCCTGTTGGGTCCGAAAGGTAGCCATGAGTGCGACGCACACGACCCTCGGCTGCCGCCGTCGCACGCTCCTCTTGCTGTACCAGGAGGAAGTGGTTGCGAAGCTCCTCGCGGGAGAGTCCTGCGCAGGCGTTTTCCCAACGGGGGCAGGGAAATCGATCTGCTACCAGCTCCCGGGCACCCTGATGGCCAGGCAGGGGCTTGGGCTGACTCTCGTGGTGTCTCCACTAATCGCTCTCATGAAAGACCAGGTGCGGTATATGTTATTGAACGACAACCTTTCTGAGTTCTGTTGAGTGCGCGTGAAGACATTGCTCTCTGTCGGAAACAGCTTGCAGTTCTGGTTCTTCTGTGGGTGGGATTGAGCACAGTTGCCGGCGTAAGGGATAAGTTGGGCCCGCGTGAGGGATAGGTTGGGCGCTGGCACCGCTGTCTTGAGCTGGTTTGACCGCCATTCCATCCCACACGCGCCCCACCGATTACGTTTATTTCGCCACTTCATGCTAGCGGTGTGCAGCATACATTACGCATGGGGCACAGTTGGAGTGACTGCGGAAATTCATTTCTTGAGCTGTTTCTTCCCGCGGGTGCAGTGGTATGTTATAATAGCCTCCTCGGCCTTTGGAGGGTGCTCGGGAGTGGGAAATGCCTGCTTTCCTCCAGGAAACGACCTCGTTCGCGGTGATAACATACGAACAAGATTAAGAGGTTTGCCAAAATAGAAAAGGGGCTGGCGTCCGGATCACAGATGGCCACAGCACCCTTCCTCCCCAAGGAACCTTTTGCAATTCGAAAGACCACTACTCGTTTGCGGGCGTGCCCACGTGTCCATTCTCAGTCGTAAGTAAACGCTTCCAAGCCCTTTTGGCCCCGTTTGCACCACGTCATTGCTTGTCATCTACCCATGCCTCTAGACGCCATAGATACTCGCAGTCCCACCGCGAACTCCCTCTGTACTTCATCGCTCGCCTTCGCGCTATCCTTAAAAGACCGACGCGTTGATTGCAGCGGGAGTTCCATGCGCCAAGCTGGATTCCACCCTCGAGGCGCATGAGGTCTACGACATCTACGAGCAGGTAACATACGGACAACGACATCGGCGGGACGTAGGTTTGTTGAGCAGTATGGGGTTCCAGGATTTGGCGGTAAGGTGTGAAGGTAAGATGGCCGCACCTCTGCGGGATCCCGTTCTTTCTGGGGACTAGAAAGTGTGGAGATTTTTATTTACCTCCGTGTCCGGAGATCAGGACCCTTACTGTAGAGGCATGGCGGCGTGCTGTGGCTATCCAATTGCGTCTCTTATACTGGTAGTATGACGTTCTCCCAGGCTCTTGTTGTCTGACACTCGCTCACACGGATGAGCAAGACCTGTCGCTCACTCCGATAATGTGCATGCCCACGGTTGTCTTTTATTCATGTGGTGGGTGCCGTCGCGCTGCTTGCGCTGTTGACTAAGACAAGGTTTGCCCTCCCCGTCGTTTCATGGCCTATTATTGCGCTCTCGGCATGCCAATCAGCCTGTTGTTTGTCTCTAGCCGGCTGCGGCTTGCACGTACCTACACCATCCGCATGCGTTGGAACTTAGTCTGCAAACAGACGTTGCAGTCGGGGGTTGAAACGCTCTCGGCGCTCGCGATTTCTGGAAGCATATGCTTTCCAAATAAACAAGCGTTTCACTGAGATTATTGATGTCGAATACGTTGCAATGCGGCCACAGATCCGCGCGGGAAGCGTTGCCCTGCTGTACGTGTCTCCGGAGCGTTTCAACAACGAGCGTTTCGTCAGGACCCTAAAGGGGATCAAGGTGGCCCTCTTCGTGGTGGACGAGGCCCACTGCATCAGCGAGGTAGGTGGTCAGGAGCTCGGCGATTGGAGTTTGCCCCACGCTCAATAGATTTTCTAGCTGCCTGCCCCTCGCCTTGGGCAGCGACGGGTGTGCTGCGGCGCTCAGCATCAGATGCCGCCACCTGTTGAGGCCAAGCGTACGCCGTCCCCCCTCTTCTCCCCCGATTCCGCGCTTCTTTGCCCAACGCCGTGGTTCTCGCTGCCCCGATGTTGTCATGACAGCCAGCCGTCAACGATCCCCCACCGCCACCCCCCGATGTTACGAGACGAGCCTAAAAAATAGTACGAAAACAGTGGAGTTCCCTGTTTAGGGCCGGTTGAATAGTGCCGGTTGCCGGTTGAGCGTCGGTGTTTTCGGCTCGCACACACTGGAATACCAAGTCGTTCTGTACTTCGAATGGTGTCCGGTTTAGTGCCGGTGAAATTTCGGCGCACACCCCGGCACTAAACAGAGAGACCGCTACTGAACCTGTGTTGCATCTCCTGGCCTCCCCACAGTGGGGGCACAACTTCCGGCCGGACTACTTGCGCCTAGCCGACTTTGCGAAGGCTGCGCGGGCGAACGCGCGTTTGGCTCTCACGGCCACGGCAACGCCTAAGGTGGGTAAGCGGGGCTGGGTGGGCAATACTGCAGGGTGGCTCCTCCAAGCTCGTATACAACTGCAGGGTGGCTCCTCCAAACTCGTATACAAGTAGGCGTTCCCCGCGAAGTCTGTTGTCGTATGTTGATCAGGCGACATCGCCGAAACCGAGAACCGTTCTTTCTTGGCTGCCTCCTATATACACCAAGGAAGGTTTCCGTGTGTTCAAAAGGGTCGTGGTTGTAGTGAAAGTGGGCAGCGGTACTGAACCACCGGAGCACTAAAGTCCTACCGGAGGAATACGTTAGGCTCCCGAGATTTTGTCGTGTCTGGCTCCCAATAAAAAATGGCCCAATGGTTCTTCTTTGTTAAGTCTGACCCTTCTCGGGACAAAGGGTTGTGTTTTCTTTTCACTGTGAATCAACGACATGGAGCAAAAGCAAGAGAGTGGGGGTCTTGAAGACCCATGTGCTGGATGTATTCCGTGAGCATAATCGAAACCTGTATGTTTCCACCCCGATCGCACAGGTTGCCGTGGATATCGCCAACCGTCTCGACATACCGCCTTCAAACGTCAACAGGTGAGGTGGCGATGCTGTTGTCTCTTGTTGCTGCTGACGGTGGTTTGTGTTGGTATCGACAATGTATGCGACTGCTGCTGTGGCTGTTGCTGCGGCTGTTGCTTCTGTCGGTGACGACAACTACCCAAAATTGAGACTCAGGATGATTGCGCATCGCCAGCTATAAACAAGCGTCCCGCTACGCAACGCCCTCCCCCCCCCCCCGCCCAAATCCTCAACTCAATGGTCTAAACCCGCCACCCCCAACCTTCTTGTCCACGTTTACGCCAACAGAACACCGTTCTACCGCCCGATGCTGACCCTCGGCGCCGTTCGCGCTCCGGATGATCAAGAGGAGCGAGCCCGTCTGCTCGCCGATATCCTGCTCCGCGGAGAACACCACCAGCAGGGAAGAGGTACGGCGGCGGGTTCAGGGGCCGCGGTGGTATACGTGACGCTTCAGAAGACGGCCGTGGAGGTGGCGCAAGCGCTCGCCGCGGCGGGGATCGACGCTCGCCCCTACCACGCTGGACTGCCGCCTCTTCAGCGGGAGGTAGTGGGTGTTGTGGTAATTAGAATCGACCGGCTGGCCGATGAACATAGGATAAGAATCAAGGTCATTGGAAAGGAGCCCAAATTCGAGAACGTGCAAGGCGCTGAATGCGACTGCGAATCTCTCTACTGATCTTTTCTGAGAGACGCACACCACAGCTCTACACATGCTCTCTCCCGAACCTAGCAAGCCAATGATTATTTGTGTTTGTTTGTTCGATTGACCCCTCTCGGTGATGTGTGTGTGAGAGGGTCTGTGGAAGGCCTCACTGGTGTTGCACTACGACTCGGGTTGCAGTTTGCTTGGTGGGCTCGATTTGGAGCGCGTCGTGGCCGGGGGACAATTTCGTGTCTCTGCTTTTCCTTCTTCGCTCCTGTCTTTTCACTTTGGCGTTCACAGCTCGAAGAGTTGGAATGGTAGTCGTGCGAGGGGATAGGTGTTTGGTTGCACGGCAATCACGTTTGGGCAGCAGTCTACGCAGGTTGTCTAAGTAAGTAATCATATGGGATACAATATATAATCGGGTGTAAAGTTGGGGGTTGGGGTTAGGGATAAGGAGGGTCTGCGTACCCCCCTGTATTTTTTCGTAGTAAACTTTCTTTCTTTGCGTAGGCGTCAAGTGAGGAAGTCTACGACAGAGGACAAACTTTCTGTTGGAGACAGCGTGGGACACCTTTCTCTTTCGCGAGCAGCCTCGCGCCCCCGCCTACCCTTTCGAGCACATTACGTTTGTGTGCTACATTGCCGACAGGAGACCCAAGACTGGTTCATGAATGCGCCAGACGATGAGTCCCCCGTTGTGGTGGGGACGATAGCCTTCGGGATGGGTCTGGACAAGAAGAACGTGCGGCGAGTATTTCACTTCAACTTGCCAAGATCGCCGGAGGATCTCGCGCAACAGGTACTCTATCGAAGCAGCTGTTGTTGTTGTTGTTGTTGTTGTTGTTGTTGTTGTTGTTGTTGTTGTTGTTATTGTTATTGTCGTCGCTGTCGTAGCCGGGGTTATTTCGTTCTTGTGATTTTGCTGTCCGCGCGGGAGTATTAGGCTGCTGTGCGACCAGTGGGCCCGTGTGTGATATGCGCTTGTTTCCTGGCGTGACTCCCCCCGCCGCCCCGCTCCGCTTGGCCCACCCATGGGGATGGAAGGAAGAGCCAGGACACGCGGCAGATGACTACATAGTTGACAAAACGGCCTGCGAGGCGTTTGATCCTCTCCCCCCTGCCTCCCTATCATTCCAACTCCTCCCACGTTGTCGCAGGTGGGGAGGGCAGGCAGAGACGGGGAACGCGCCTCCTGTACGACTCTCGTGTCCGCTGCAGACCTCCCCGTCCTTAGGTCTATGATCTACGGTGGAACTCCTAGCGAGGCGGCAGTGCGGGGTCTGCTTCGGGCCATTTTCGCCAGCGGGGAGGACGAGGCTGACTTCAACTTCTACGACCTGTCGCAGGTGCTGCGGGAGCAGGAGGGGTGGTAGTGGGACGTGTGCGTGTGTGCTGCGTGTGCTTCTTTGTTTAACAGCTTTGACCGCGCTAATCGGCTAACGAATGTTTGTGTTTGTGTTGGTAAGAGAGATAGAGAATGAGAGGGAGAGATCGAGAGAAAGGCGGCGGGCGGGGGGGTGTTCTTGTCGTGGAGAAAGCAAGGATGCTGGAGAAGGGGAGAGGGTATCCCGAGTTACATACGCAACCACGGAGCGCACGAGTACTACTCCGCGGAGCTTACTTCGAGGCGTACGGACAGCGTCAAGCTAGTCTGCCCTCTTGGTCCAACCACGATGCACACGACGACAAAACACGCATTTTTTCCCTCTCTTCTCCATACTGAAATAGCGTCGAATCTGTTGAACCAGATGCTGGACACAAAAGACCTGGTGCTCAAGACCCTAGTGGCCCATCTCCAGATCAGAGGCCTCGTGCGAGAGCTAACGCCGTACTTCGAAACGGCGGACGTCCAGTTGTTGGACGCCGGGATGGCTATCCTTGACGATGGAACGGAGGAGGCAATTGGCGACATGCCAAGAGAGTGAGCAGACAACGCCACCAACTTTGGCATCGAGGCTTGCAAGCAGTCTTTTTCAATATGTCAGATCTAGCCCTTGGTTTGTGATGCCCGATCAAGCGTCCCGACACGACCTGTGGTACGTGCAAGACCGTTGAACATGGAGTGGGTGTTGATACCCCACAGAGCAACAGTGAACATGAGCCTTGGGCCCGCGAAAGACGTACTCGCGTCGTGATACCGGCGACACTACGTCCGCGAGGGAGAGAGCGGGGGGGGCGATGCTTCTCCGGCATTAGTACTCTTTTCGGAGGGCGGATGGGGCAGGGTCTGATTTGTTTCCCCGCAAACATGCGATTCCTAGAGTACCCGCCCTGAAGAGATTGAGTGCCATCGGTGCGAAAAAGGTAGCCCATGCGTTCTACGTATCTGTGGAGAAGGGGCAATGTGTCGCCCTCATGAGCCTCGCGCTCTGTCTGAATGGTGTTGGTGGTTTCCCCGCGAACGTTGGGTTCGGGTGCATCCTCGCGACAGGTGGGTTGCCGCGCTGGGGATGGCTGACACGAAGCTCAAGCAGAAGCGCGCCAACGCGAAGTGGGCAACCCTGCGCGTGGATGAAACCGCTGAAGCGCTGGGTGTTCCTATACAGCAGGTGGGAGGCATGAATATAGGGTCCCGGTGGGGGTACCAGTCGACCTGACGGAGGTCCGCGGTAGGTAGAGTGGGTGAACTCGCCATCACCATCGCCTGCGCGGTCGTGGTGAGAACCCAAGAGACGTGTGCCGAACGCGAGCGTGGTTTCTGAGCAAGTTTCCGAAGCTTAGGACAGCCCGTTGGCACAACCGAGGGCTGCGTGTAGGCTCCAGCCCGATCGTGGTGCTGCTCCGCTCAACTCGAGCACCTCGTGTCCCCCTTCTCCCTTCCGTGATGTTTGCCATCTGCGTTGACCCCAGATCGCGCGCATGCTGTCCGGAATGACGTATGAGGGCTTGATCGCGCTGGGCAAGCCTGGCAAAGTCAGGGCCAGGTTCCAGGTACGTTTCCCGCGACGCTTGCAAAAGGGGATGGCGGGTTTACCTCCTCCTCCTCTCGGCCTACGTGTTTTGTTTTCTGGCCTTCTTTCGCAACCTGTCGCTGCTGGTACCAATTGCGTTTGGCATAGTGCCTGTTTTCTGGCATCTGGCATCGAACAACCCGGCAGTACGTTTCACATCGTATCCGAACTTCGATTTTGCTGTTGCATGCACCACGGGTGTTTGTGCGCATATTTACTACCGGCTTTGGGTTAGCGTTTTGACAGCCCGGGTTCTGTGCTCGACCGCCCTGCCTCTTTCCCAAGAACCTTACGTAGTCGACGGCACTGGTCAACACCTCCATCCGAAAATCTCGACACCGAGCCCCATGAAACCCCGGTTAAATCAGGTGCTCCGCCGGCCCGCCAGTCGGGAGCAAGCCCAGGCTCTATCCAGGGATCTGCACGCGATGGCCATGGACTTGCAGGATCGAGAGCTCGGAAGACTCGACACCGTAAGACCCAAACACTCAGAATCTTCTGGGGAAACCCAGAAATGTTCGTACGGTTTCACGAATTGTTCCCGAGTTGTAGGGCCTTTTCAGGCCCGCTCGTTCCAATGATGTTTCAAATGGTTTTTGCATTGATACGCATTTCTTATTTGCCCCCGGGTAGGTCCAGGAAGTACCTGGTCGGGTTTTGGCAGACACAGTGAACACTGGAACCAACCCCATCGTTCGAGCTGCAGCCCCCCCCACTGTTGCCTACCCGATCAACCACGCCTGGATATGTGTGTAAACACGCCTAGATGGTGCATGTGTGTCGTTTCATGCTAGGAAACAGGACTGCAAACGACGTGTTGGTGTCATACTGTCGCTTGGGCTGCTGCTCAGCTGCTGCCATTAGTGGAGGTTTTGCCTTAGGGGTAACTCAGGTGGGACAAATAGACCCTGCCTGTCTACCCGCACACTTGTAAATCCCCCTGGCATGACACGTCCAGCGGCTGAGTTTGCTGTCAGGGAACAGCTACCCACGCGACAGCGCTGAAACGAGTGTAGCGGGTCCACCCTGATGTTGTTCGAGGGTTCGAAATGAAGAAAGAGCGGCATGCACACAACGAAAGGACTCACTGCAGCCAGTAGAAAGGAAGCCCTAGAGAAACGCGTGGCGATAATGGATGGGGCACTTGGGGATTTCGCGTTGCCAATGAGCGTGTCAATCGACGGTTGGGTCGGGTTTCAGTGGTTAGCGTGACTTTCTTCTTTATATGGACACCTGTTTGTGTACTTTCACCTCGTGCCGTATTGGGGCCAACTGGCCCTGCAGGGTAAACCAACGCACGCAACCGCACGACAGGCATGGTCCTGGAAGAGTTTGCACTATTGTTGACATGAGATTCCAGAGTCACCCGTGCCAATTTGACTCAGTCGTGTTCGAGGGCGCAGATGGCGTGCCCCTCCCAAGAGTCAGCCGTTCGCCAATAAAGGACCACTTTGATGTCGAATAAATGTCTCTGGCAGTTTTGATCCGTAGGTCGTACACGAGGCTGGCCGGAAGTGACCCTCCGAACTTGTGTTGTTTACGGTGTATTCCAAAGGTGATGGAGATACTGTGCAGCCAGGAGGGGACTGCGGTGAGCTCGGGGCTCTCCGAGTACTTCGGCGACTCGGAGGCAACGATATCAGAAGCCGTGGCGAACGAGAGAGCTGCCGCCGCCGTTGCCGTAGCAGAACGTGGCGCTCCCCTCCTCTCCGACGTTTTAACGCCTCCGCAGGTGCGGTCACGGCCAATGCTCCCGGGAGGAATGAGCGTGTGTGTGGGGGGGTGTACTCATGTAAACACATGCCGTAGTTGTTAGACCATTGACTTCGCATTCCTACAATGCCGGGACGGAGCGATTTCGCCAGCCCAGGGTACGTTTCACAGGGATCATCCAGAAGCTGGTCGTCATCCTTGCGTTTGCTGTGCCAAATCAGACAGGAGCGGGCGGCACGGATTTTTTTCCGCGTCCCGTGGTAGCTCTATCCCAGCTTATTTTCACCGACTATTGGTCCGTTGTTTTTCGGTTTCGGTGGCCTTGGTACCGCCTCCCCCCCTGAGGTGGCCTTTCCCCTCATCAATGATTTTTACCAACGACCAGCGCTTGAGAAACATCGGAGGGGGGCATATCTGATGCACTAGAGGACACCAGTACGTACCCCGCCACCCCCCGTCAATTTCTTTTGCACGCTCGCGAAGTATGGTCGGGTCGCTTTGTCTGCTGAGAAATTGGATCAAGGACGCTGGTGCATTCAAGTCAGACCCCAGGGCACTTGCAGGAGAACTTGGGGAAACAAGAAGACCGAGTGTGTTGTTTAGTGATGTTTTTTTTTTTGTTCCCATGCATGATGGTGTCAACGCATGAGCGTACGTCACATTTTTACCCCACGTAAAATCGTCGCAATGATGTCCGTAACCCTTCCTTCGAACGCGGGCAGGTCTCGGAAGAGGAAATCGACGAACGTTGGCGAGCGGGCGTTCTTGATCTCCTTTTGGAACCGGGCGGAGGGGACGACAACCGAGTCATCCCCTGCGACGACGCCTACTTGCTGGCGAGGTTTGCGGCTGGGATCCGCAGCCCTCGAATAGGAAAACTGAAGCTCGCGCAGCTGGGGTCCTTCGGGTGCTGCGCGAACCACCCGTTCCCGGCGCTGTTGGCAAGGGCCGAGGAAGCGGTTGCCATCGCCACCGCTGCTGCTCGCGTGCTCTGATTTGATGCATCTTGCTACTCGTGCACCGTTTTTTAGATTAGGAGGGGTGGAAGGGATACGGTGTCCACCTGCTTGGTTCTTGAGTTTACTGTTGTGCATTCTATCTGTACTGTGGCGGTTTTCGGGAGTTGGCGGTGTTTAGGGAGAACCCACAGGCAAAAGGGCATGCTTGCTGAAATATTTTCTGTTGTGATGTTTTTCTGTGGTGCAGCTGCGTTTACGTTGTCTTCGCCCAAAGGTACCGTCGGTACCTCCATGCCTAGGGATTTTCAAGGTTTTTGGCGATGTCGCAAAACCGTGGTCGTTTGCAAAGTCACGAGCATGAGATAGAAACATACGAACGAACGAACGAACTAACGAACGAACGAACACGAGCACGCGCGTTCTTTGTGCAGTGGCATCACCGGGACATAAAAATTTGCAAGCTTCGTTCTCGCTTTGTGAAGCCAGTGAGCTCGACGATTGGTCCCGGCCGTTCTTCGAAACGTGAACGAGACAAATGTGATTTTTGGGGTTGTTGATTTCTTCTGTCCTTGCCGCAGCGGTGGCATCGTCCAGCAAGCCCGTAAATGGAACGTGACTGCGAGACACGTCTTCCCTACATGTGAATGATCTTTTCAGGGACACGCTTGCGCTATGCAGCCTATCGTGCGTTTCTTGTTTGTTTTGAGGCTCTTCCAACTTTCAGGGCCTTCTTACCATCGCGCAAGAGCCAGGCGTGGGCGACTAACCAAGCGCATGCCTCCGAATCTTTCGTGGCATGTCCTGAGCTCTCGGAAGAAACCGTGTAGGTTTGTAGGAAACTAGAGGGTCGCTGCGTTAGCGACGAGCACCGCTGGTGGAGGAACATCGTTTCGAATCTGGTCTGTCAGGGAGGGAACGCTGCACCATTGAACATCGTAATTTTTTCTTCAAGCAACTATATTTAAATTCCAAGCGGACCGCAAAGAGTGATGGATGTCGGTTTGAGTGTCAGAGCACGCGGACGGCTCAGTCTTTACAGCCGGACCGGCGGGGTGTTCATGCTTTCGGCTGAGAGAGAGCGCAGCACACAAGCATTGTGTGACATGAACACGTGAGCCTAAAAAAATCGTTGTACGTGGGTGCATGTTTTTCCTCATCACTGGGCCTCCATGTTGCTGAGCTTGCAGTTTTGTTCTGTTCGTTTTGCCCAGGCCTTTCTTCTCTGAGCACGTCATCGCTGAAAACGTCAGCCGTAGGCATACAAGTGCATGCTTGCTGAAGGCATGGCGTATCTTGTACAACTTCTCGACGCATTAAACCAAGAGGGGACGTGGAGTGCACAAGGGCACAGCCGGGCCTTTGCACTTGGCTTGATCATGTACTGAAAGGGAGCAATAATATTACTCTACATTGAACGCACATCACTTGTGTACGACACAAAAAAAACGTAGTAGACCCCCCCCCTGTTCATAGAGCTAGCAGTTTCAAGGCTTCCGCTTCTCCTGTGGAATAACTGCTCCCTTTCCTCATAAAACTGCAATGTTCCAAGTCTCCACCCGAGGGCATCATTCGTAGAGGATGCCTTGGTCAGGCCAGGCACTATGTCCAGTGCACACCCGGGGTTGCGGGCGGTCTGACTTGGGGCATGATTTCGGTGTGCGTGACTCTAGACATCCAAGCAAACACATGCCCTGTGAGACGGGCCAACAGCTATGTAAACCGTAAAATTGTGGATAGGCTTCGGGACCGCTCTGGCAGGACAATTTCTGGGTCAGAACAGGCATACGAACGCCAAAGGCTATGCGGAGTCTACGGGTGATAGTGGCGCCGGCGTTGTAGAGGAGCTCAATCTGGTACCTCGTTGTTCTCGAGGCGATGCGAAGCCCTCAGAGCCTGTGGTGACACGAGTCCAAAAAAGATAATTTAAGGGGGCGAGCGAATTGAAGTTATACGATCGACAGCGATGTAGTGATTTCTACGTGGGATGTTATCTTTGACTCCCGCCGTGCCGCTACATGTGTGCTAGATGGGTGCGGGTTTCTACTTGCGACGTTGCACCCACACAGGAACTGGCAAAAACTGCTTGCTTGTCGGAAAAAAGGGACTTTGGCCCGTCACGTATTGGGTTAAACTATCGAAGAAGGCGCCTCGCACCTTCGAGAGAACACAAATGTAAACAAGCACGAATTCTGATGGGGTTTGAACGTGCCAAGGGTGCAATACATTTTTGTTCTTGATAGAGGCGGCACATGGTTACTCGTCGTTTCCAGGGCACTGTCCTTCTTCGTCTTCCGAGCAAAGGAGAAAATCAGATGCAGAGGATGCAGAGGGCGTCGCCACTCGCCAAACATTAATAATCTTCACGGCATTTGAGAATACCGTTATTAGGGTAAGTTAGGCTGTGACCATGGGAATCGACAGCATCGAGTGTTAGATCAGTACGGGTAAAGGGAGGTACTGGAGATAGGAACGGTTTTAATGTGAAGACAACAACAACAACATCGTGTCGGATACCAATTTCTACGCAAACAAATCCTGTCAGGGTATCGAAGCATGAATATTCCCCTTATTTGTCATGAGTTCCCACACGCACATGGTTCTCACTCCATCACCGCCTCGGTGAGAGAAATTACAAAGGTCGCACATAGCTCACTTGCAGCACCGAAAGGCCCACTTCCCCACGCTAGTCAACTCTCCAGTCGTACCTGGTTGGCGGAAATTTGAAGCGCGCATTTTCGTGCCAGCAGCAAGTTGGACCGTGGTACCTCGCGTCTCTTTGAGGGCCTTGTTCACTTGACGTCGTTGGTGCTTCTGCCGCTCTCTGTTTAGCCACAACTGACAAGATGAAACGGTTGGGGCGGCGGGGTTTACGTAAAATGGAGTAAAACTTGACCCTTCCTCGGAGGTTAGGTGTTCAGAGCGTACTAGCCCACACGTCGGTAAATTGCCGCGTGTCAGTCGCTTGACGGAACACACCATGGCTCAAGCCGCTTAGAAGGCTCCCAAAACAGTAGTACACAGTTGACTATGCCGTCACTTTCCACATCGAGCACCTCCAGGAATCGACGAATGCGATGAATGTCTCGGCTGCCCGCCCTCCGGAAGACCGCCCTGGTGATGTCGGCCAAGGATACTTCACCGTCGTTGTCCTCGTCCAGCATGCCAAACTGAAGACCCTTGAGAACCCGAACCCCGTTGTTGCTTAGCATGGCCTTTCGCCACATGTCGTACGTGAAGTGGAACCCCTCCCTACACCCCGGTGAACGTTGGAGGGGATGCAAGGGGTACACGCGTGGGTCCGAACGAATACGGAAATCATTGGATGAACTTTGTTGCCCTCAACGTTTTTGCGAACCCGGGAACGTGCCTACCGACTTCCACCTCGGTCCCTGTCGACCATATGCCGAACGCTAAGCATGCCACACGTGATCTTACCCAGGATGAGTTCTGCGCTTGGTTCCCGAAGCGGACAACGCCATACTGCGCCTCGAGGTTGGGATACCGAAAAAGATCTGCCATTGTCGTTCTTACCTGGCGCACAATAGGAAGACTCCGCCCAGAGTTTCCACCTCGCTTCTGGTGTACGTCCCAAAGTTGGCCACGCCAAGAAGGGACTCGTTAGTCTCTTCGAACCTCGACCCCAATGATCCTTCCGACGGATGTACTCGACGACGGATGTACGCGCCTACCGAGGATTTTGTCTGCTACCGGTAAGAAACAATGTCGACGATGGCATCACCAGAGACAGAGAGAAAAGAGGCAGTGTGCAGCAATAGGTGAATAGCCATGTCTGCCTCAGTGAAGTACTACAATGGCTGTCTTAATCTTTCAGTCAGAAAGTTTCCTCGTTGTAGCATGTGGTTGTGACGGGCGGCCACCTTCGGCACCGTAGCGGCCACGCCCTCTACAACCGTTGAGAATGCCACACCTAACCCCCACGAAGTCGCCTCTGACACCGACAACAGAGGAAGACCGGTCGAGCTTATTGTGTGACCGTGCGTTCTCGTTGAGGTTTCGTTGAGAGCCTTGCCTCCCAGGGCACGGTTTCAGGCGGTTCTTGAGATACATGTACCAAAGCATGTGCAAAATAAAGTTGCTTGTTGAAGAGAAATATTGGGTAATTCCGGGACGAAGAAGGGCACGAGAATACAAGCGAATATTGTAGGGCCGAGTTGACGGGGAGCCGGCGCAGCAAGACCTTGAGTGCATCGTATGGTTGGTGATAGCAGAGGATGATGCGCGCAAGGGCGATTTCAATCTTTACGAGCAAACTTTGCCGTGAGAGGGGTTCTCTGCTGGTGCACACAAACGGGCGTTGTCTTCAGGTGCTGTCTATCCAGCCCACACACACCCCGGTCTCAACCAGACGCAGCGGACGACCGAAAACATGTTGTGTACCTCCGGGAGATGAAACTGCACCAACTACAAGACCCAACAGCATGCACACGGGCAGTGAACATGAAGCGAGACTGTTTTTGCCAGTGCCTTGCCGATTTCATTGCTGGCGTATATGCATCTTCCCTTCACTACTGTTCGAGTTTGTTCGATTCGACCTTCTTCGCGGTCCGTGGTGCGCAGCGGAAAACCAACGACCCTAAGGCAAATACCCCCCCTCTCAACCGATCACGTACGAGTGATACCTGCGACTTGAGCGTGCTCCCGTCCGTCGTAGTCGCGGAACCATCCAGGTGACACGGAGATATGGCGTTATCAAACCGTTCCTTATCGGGAGGAGAAACATCGAGAGACGAGTGGGTATGGAGATTGGAACATTGGTCAAGTGCTTAGATTGAGGTCCGAGATCCAAGAGCGCTACTTAGTGGCTGCTTGAAGGTAGTGTAGACTCTTCTGGTACGTGGAAGATAATAACTCCACCAACCAGTAGCAAGCTGCCATTGGACTTGTGGAATGTTCGCACCACATTGATGTACAAGGCCCAGGGGCCCAAGGGGCCCAAAAACAACGACAGGAAAAACCACGTCGTCCAACGTGGAGATGGAGAATGAATGTCAGTTTATGGGGGGACGACTGGGCCATGCCTCGAGGGCTAACTGGCGAGTGTTGAGATACTGAGAAGATCAACCCGATCAATCACAATTAGTCACCTGCATCTCCTTCCAGCGCTCCTTGAGATCCACAGACGGCACGGAGGCACACTTCGTCAATGTACGTCCTCCTGAGCTCAGCGTATCTCCAGGCTCTAACTTGAGGTAGAGAAGGCTAGTGCGTTTGTTGCATGAGGACGGCATGCGACCGACGCGTACAGAAGAAACGACAGCAGCATACACGAACGGAATGAACTGATATTGATCCAAGAAGCGAAGGGCTGGGCAGCCCGATGTAAGGAGGCTCCGTCGAGAGCTTTTGAAAAGTACAGGTATGTCCTGCCCCAAATCAAACCAGAATGTGATATACAGTAGTTGTTGCAAAAAACACAGTCACAAAAAGGATCGGACAGAAACAAGAAGGCGGAACTTGTACGTTAAACACCCACATTTCTACGGCAACTCGATGTAGTTTGTAGTATCGGCAGGCAGTTAACGTAGAAACGGATAGTGTTCTGTATGTTGGTTGGCCTCCATCCTACACCAGGTCGAATAAAGGGTAATCGCATTCCCCCCGCTACGCACCTATCCAAAGAGTCTTCGCCGGCACCCCGGCTTCCAGAAGAAGCTTTTCGTTGTTCCATCTCTTGCAGCGAGAGTGTCGTGAGCGACGCACTGGTCGTGATGTGTCTTTGCCTCTGCCGCAAATCCATCCGTGAAGAGGACGAGCCACCGCCCGCTGCCTCATCATCTTCCTTTATCCCCGCACCCCTTCGCCGTCTTGCTCTTCCATCTCTGTCACTACCAGCAACTGGTCTGTCTATGCTGCCGAAACGGTTGCCTCCCTGTTGGTAGGGAGCGTCTTCTTGTTTGATAGGGGCCCGGTTTCGCCCTGCGGCAAGGATGGGTGATTCGGCGTGTACATGTTGAGGCTCCGTTCCCCTGACGCTTCTCCGAGATTCGGTATGATCTTGATCGGTGGGCGCTGCCCTATTTCCGATGTTTCGTATGTTAGAACCACTGCTAACAGGTGACTTGTAGCGAGGGCGGCGTTGCACCCGCTTTCCTGCGTTGTCGTCACTGTTGTTCACGCCACTATCGCTTTTGGGAAGCCCTCCGTTTGCACTGTCTGTGTCGGTTTGAGGGTGTCCGTGCCATTCTTCTAAGGTCTGCTGCGTTTGTTCTTGATTCTCGGCGATGCTAGGACCGGATGTTTCCCCTGCAGACCCTCCTTCCCCCGTTCTACGCGCTATCCCCAGCATTTCTCTAGCTTCATCCGTGCTCGCAGAAGTTCCGGTGTTAATGCCTCCACCCGTTCGCGACCATGAACAAGACTGCAAAGTGTCCCTTCCACCGGTGCTCTTTGCCGAAGCTGGGACACCGTTGACGGGTTTGGAAGCCTTTGCAGCGCCGGTGACTTGGCGTCTTTGTCGTCGCCGTCGTTCCGCTAACGAAGGCAAGCTGTCCGTTAAGTTGTCCTTCAAGAAAGGAGACGCCTCCGTGTCTATCACGGCATCACCCCGCGGGTTCTTGCGGTGAACGTACTCCATGACAAGGGTGTTGCACGCGGCGCCGGACTTGATCTCGTGATACATGTTCCCGTAGAGGACCTTTCCCAGGTGATTCTTGGCCGCGCTGGCAGGGGTTGGTTTTTGGCAGCAGGCGGTGGCCGGTGAGAGGGCATGGGTAGTGTTGTCGCTTTATGGGTGAAATGGGAGAAGAGAAGACGAATCTCTCTGAACGCAGGAGGGGGGTACGGGGGGCTATGGCCCACGTATAGTCAGCCTTCTAGCCTTCTCAGCTTTACAACACAAAACGAACCCTTCAGTTGTGTGGCAGGCGTGAGGCCGAAACAGCCATGCCGACAACAACACTCTCGTGGGCAGCTCACCGGGCGCTTGTGAGAGTCATCCGTTGCTTGTCGAAGGAGTCCGACGGAGATTGTCCCCGGTCCCACAAGCTACCCGGTCCTCTCCGAGCCTCCCCCTCTCCCGAATGTCCGACAATGCCCGCTTCGTCTGCCGCCAGTTCGCCTCGGGCCGGCTTAGCCGCAGTAGACCCTAGCTCTGTCGCCGACGGCTTTCTAAATCCCAGGTCTGCGGCGTTGACATCGATCAATTTTTGCCAATCGCGATCCCCCATGCCGCTCTTGCCGCCGCCGGCTAGGTTTTTCTTGGTGGTGACAGCTCCCAGTTGGGTAGAAGGAGCAGCAGCAAGCGGCGCTGCAACTACGCCAGTGAAACGGTCGTCCGGTGCACAGTACGCCCCGTGAACACTACCATGGTTCCCTCTGCCCGGAAAAAGGCTGTTCTGGTTGCCCGTGTCACCATGGTGACCCAAGTCAGCGGCACCACCTCCTGGCTCCTGTTGCACAGTGGTTAGGAACGTAGTTCCATCCGCATTTTGATCATCGGCTATCGATGGCGGCCGCCCGTGCTCGGTTATCTCCTGAAGGGAAGCGGTGTGGCTGGGCCCGCGGCCTGACGTGCTGGCTGCCGATTGACTTGTCGCCAGAAGGTTTCCGCCAGCAACTCCACCGGGCGTGGGTTCCGTGGAAAATGGTGCAGCAGGAGTGAAGAGACTGGGTGCAATCACCTGATCTTCTAACTCGGTGCAGATTTTCTTGCTGAAGGCGCGATACGCCGCAATTTCTGTGGCGTGCCTGACATCCACAGCGGTAAGGCTGGGGCACGACCACCTAGAAAATCGGAGTAGGCAGGGCGGATGAGGTACGGCTGGGAGTGAGGGAGAGGTGCAACCGATTGGGGCAAAGATTGAACTTCGAATGAAATAATTGGTCGTGACTCATCTTTCGTCCCGATTCTATCACGGCAACACGAGCGACGTGTGCATCGTTAAGCGCCCGTCGTATACTCTTTGAATATCAACAACCGCTAGTTCCTGTAGAAGAAGCTTGCGGGGAGACTCTTCCGGGCGACTAAGCGGACACACGGCCTTCTTTGGAGGATTCATCGCGCAAGCGGAAATGTGTCGGTTTTGGCCTACAATTCATTCATACCCCCTCTCACATCTCGGCGCGATCGATACGCACACTTTCCGTGTCGCGCATATCAATTTCTCCTAGGGTGCCGGCGGCTTTGAACGGCTGAGCTCCCACCTAATGTTGCAGCAAGGCGCCAATGGTCAAACAATACGTAAGAGGCATTTACCCGAGTGGTGAGCTTCTTCGGTGCAGTGGTTAGTTTTACTTGCAGACAGAGCATTTGCGCAATTTGGCAACGTTGCCATACGTTGCCTAGATGCGTTGCCTCGATAGGAGCTTGCCACCCGCAAAACAATCTCTTGAGTTTTGTACCAAACTGTCACACAACAGGACGTTTTCCACCATTGAAAATCACCTGGACGTCGGCGAGAGAGAATAGCCTTATGGTGCTGTCGGTGCTAGCGGTCACCACTAGCGGCGTCTTATCGAGCGCGCACAGAGTCGACACCGGGCTCCCGCGATGCGCCTCCCATCGCAGAGAGGGGGGGACGGAGTGTAACGCTTCGAGGGCGCTTTTCGTACTAATTGGCAAGCGGATAGGGACAAACACAGGAGGAGGCACATGTACGAGAGGGCGGTAGCCTAAGGAGATCGGATGCAAACCCTTGCACCGAAAGCTTGTACTCGTCAGTGTGAAATTTCATACCATCTCCTCTGTTGCAATCTCTCACATTTGGGTACTTCTTTGATGTACCAGCCGGGGTCACACAGGATGAATGCTTGACGCTGATGAACGTTCTATCGGGCTCTGGCTCGCAAACCTCGTGAAAGGCGAGTACAGCCACCAAGTAGCCTACAGCCAAAACTGGGCCGTGCAATGGAATATGCCGCCTGGGAAGTGCTTCGAGAATCGATCTTTCTCCCTGTGCTCGGCTTAGGTGGGCGGTAGCCGTACAGGGAAAAGGCATCGCTTGTCGCACCTTCCCCCGACAAACGCAGATGCAGCCGATGGCGTACAACATGTCAGGCCCGAGCGACGAAGCCTGGTGGCCCGGATGTGCACCCCTTGCCTCTCCTGCGGCTGCCGCCGTTGAAGCTTGGCCGCCATTGCCTCCCTGTCTCAGTTTAGCGGTGTAGACGGCATGGGCAAGCCGCCGCTACCTCAGTTGTCAAGGGAGTACCCGATTTGATCTGCGCTGTAGCGTCTCGACTACGGCACCAATTCGGCATTTACTGCTGCAGGGGACATCCTTGTTTGTTTGTGTGGGTAGTCAAATGCCGGCAGGTTTATTTCTTGTTGGCTTGGTTTCGTCCCAGCAGAGTCGTGTTTGCCTGCTCTACAGCATCCAAGGTTCTGCGGGGTCTGAGCCTGACCGGCGCATACTCACTCGTCTACGCCCGCCCTAGCCAAAAGACCTTTCGCCTCCCAGACCTCGATCCACCCCCCTGCGCTTCCGGTCACGATCACTTGCTTCATTCTCCTTTCTGCTCGATCTGTACCATGACTTTCCGAGAACTCGTCAGTGGACTGCTCCCCCGACGCCCCCACTGTTTTGTTCGCGCCCGCCTCGTCCCCTGTTATCTTCCCAGTATCCTCTTCTCTTGTGTCGCGAGAGGGAGTGCCGTCGGAGCTGTGGTTGTTCTTCTGCTGCTGCGGCGATTCCGTGGGCTTGCGGTCGTCGTACATGCTGTGAAGATGTATCTCGTACACCGGGCTTGGCTGCTGCTGCGGCTGTTGGTTGTGGGGTTGTTCGTCGTCGAGCGACCTGTGTGCTTGGTTCACCCGCCTGCCTGAAAGGAGCAGCCCGGGCCGCAGGGTGCAAGACCCCGTTTGTCGCTTGGCGGTGGCAACGGGAGGGGGCGGTGGTCGCGCCTGCCCCGCGGCGTGCACCAGCACAGGCAACAGCATGTTCAAAGCAAATATCACCGACACATCTTTTTCGTACAGCAATTCATTCTGAAATAGGAGACGTAATGACCCGCTGACACTTTTCGCTTTCTGACAGAGACACGCATCACCTGCAAAATGCCAGTTAGAAAGTCATTCTGGTTTCGATCGTTGAGCGTTGCCAGGCGAGGTTAGACATACTCTCCTTCCCACCTTGTTGTGTTCTTGTGGAGAAGAAGCAGGTGACGCTTCCGTGTGTTTTGTGGACCTTTCCTCCCTTGGATTGTTTTTGTCGACGGCCGAGATCGATTCGGAGTCATCCGACAACTCAGCATTCGAGAGGAGCCTGCCAGGAGGGAGGGGGGGTTGAGCATCCCGGGAGGATGAGACAAGTTCCATGGAAAAACTCACTATGAAAACTTCAGAAAATGGTCGCTGAAATGTGACATTGTTGGTCTTGAACGGTCGAATGATGGCCAAGAGAGGAAGGTGCCGCAGTAGACACCACAAGATTCAATTCGCCGTGGCAACGGGAAGAAATAGGTCAATGACGTACCCGTTGGGGAACATGAGCACGCCGTTTGAAACCCGTTCAGGGCCGACCTACACGGCGTACCTGAGCCCCGAGTATTCTAACGCAACCATTCCGCAAGCCTCTCTCCCTTCGTCTTTGGACAGAAACACAGCGAAATCCTGGCGGCCCATCACTACACCATGTCACAGCAGGTGAGAAACAGTCACCCGCGATAACAGGGTGGGTAACTCACTCCTTGCCGGCCTTGCTGCCATCGACGCCGTCCGGCCCACGTGCCCAAGCGCCTGCCTTTGCAGCAGTATCGTCTTTTGCACTGCCCCCCTGTCCGTCCCCGTCCCCCCCTACGAACTCTTCATCAGCTTCCCAAGCCGGTGCAGAGCGGGCTCCACTTGTGTGAATGTTTGGCCGCGAGTCTGATTGTGCCGTCACTTCTACGTCACTCGGCAGGGCTGCCTTTGCTCCACGCGTATCTGGTACGGCCGGTGACGACGACGTCGACCTTGTTCCACCTGCCGCTGTTTTGTTGCCCGCGCGGGCCTCTCCAGCTGCTTTGCTGAACTCAGCCACCCACAAGACGACATCGCCGCCCGAATCGCTGGCAAGCAGGCATGCCGTCCCTGGCAGGAAGACCAAGCCGAGCACGTCCGCGTCGAGGTCGGAGATCCCGCCTTGAAACGTGAGGTCCTGCCGACACACCACAAAATATCCGGGCGGGTTGTAGTCTATGCACCCATTGTGTCATTCCGAGCAAGTTCGCGTTGCTTACAAATATTGCGCCAGTAAATGGAGTTTCGCAAGGTCGACAGCTACATCCAGGTCTTGCCACCTGGACCGAGCGTCGTACTTGGGGTCGGGGTTAGGGTTAGGTGTTGCACGATGTGCAGATCCCCGACGGGGTGTGTGGTTCTTGATCTCTGCAGGCCATATGCACAGTATACCATATCAGCACCTGCGACTCAAACGTTTATCCGAGAAATTCGGACGGAGAGCACCGCTTCCACACCTGCTTGTGCCAGAGGCGAATTTCGCCTCCTGCTGCCGTGGCGATCAGCTGCGCGTCCTGGCTGACCGCGCACGCGGAGATCATCACCCCGTGTGCTTCTTCGATTTCCCCCGCCTGGACGAGGCCGAGCCCATTAGCCTTCTCGCGGTGTACCGCTATTCGCCGATCGACCCCAACCGACACCACCTCTCGCGATGCCGAGCACACGACCACGAGCACCACCGCGCCGTTGTGGGCGTTCTTAGCCTCGAACAGCAACTGTTGAAAGAACGTGTCCCAAAACGGTTGTGTGTCGTGCTGTTGATAATCCCGTCAGTCGGTCTGGGGACTCAGACATAGGTCGCGAAAGTCGTACCATGGGCAAGAATACTCTACAAAGCGAACCGACGCAATCGTAGGCAGTTTCGGGATCCCCTAATGCCTGAGAACGTCTAGAGGTGACATCACATGAGCAAGGGCGACGGCGCGCCTAGCTCACCTGCCCAGTGACGATGTGTACAACCGCAATCCCTCCGTCCGACGTGCCGAGGTAGATTTTTTTGGGGTCCGGCTTATCGGTTGTCATGGCCGTGATGCCCTGGGGACACGGGGAGGCTATCATTCTCAGAGGCTCGCTGGTCTGCAGGTTCCAAAAGCGGAGGTGCTGTCCCGTCGAAGCGATGATGTCCATCGATTTGTCTTTGGTTACCGTCGGCAGAGGGTACGTGCACGCAAGGGGCGGGAAACATCAATTCGCCATGAGAGCCGCACAGTGTTGATGGATATATACTCGGCGGTTACAGTGGCGGGAGCTAGAAGTACCGCTGTTGCGTCTCAGCCAATCTCGCTGAGACACAGTAGTCGGTTCCCGGTATTATTCATATCATTCAACAAGGTGAGTGATTTCCCATCTTTGATTCACAATTTCACCGTCAGTATTTTCTTCACTGTACCGAGAACTCACGGTGCAGGGTGAAACCGGCCCTATCAAGCGAATAACGCGGAAAAAGTGAGTTTCGCCATGTTTCAGGCATTGTAGCTGTGAGAGAAACCTACGGTGAGCGACACCACGATAGTGATGCCACAAGGGCACCGAAACGGATGAGCTACATACATAATACCCACCGTTGTAAACGAGAACGTTGGCGGCCCTGGCGTCTTTGACAAGTTGCCGCGTTCGCACTACCATCGTGCCACCGGCGCCTCGCACCACAATGTCTGGCCACACGTGAGACATGCTGCTGTCCGAGGCTTTCTCTGACCGGTTGGATTGCGCCTAGGGGGGTTGACGCGTGTGTTCCATCTTGTTGTCGAGGGATGCGTTCGAGAAGCGCACATGGTATGCTGCTGCCCTGCGGAAGGGGCAGACCTACTGGAAAGCACGCTAAGCGAAGGGCACATACCATATATTTCACACTACAGTAGAAGCAATAGGCTTACCGTGGGCCAGGTCGTGCCAGGTCCATGCAAAATGCCACCGTACGAATTAGTATGGCGCCAATCAGATTGAACAGGTACGAAAGGAACACCTATCCGCAACGACACGAGGCCCCAACACTGTCACAACAGTTCTTGCGCACCTCTCCCGCTTTTATACCTGATGTGCTGTATCGAGCGTTCGACGGAACACAACAAGGGCAAAACACAACCAATTCGGTTTGGCCTAGCGCACATGTCAAGTCATGTCCCAGATCTTGGCCTGAGAATAGCCCCTTCAGCGAACTTCCTGCTCGCACGACCCCCGCGTCTCAATCACCTTATTGCTACCGGTACCAGTCAAGACGTGTCGGTGATATCGCTCGAAACCGGCAATCTCGCCCAAGTTCGGTCGCCAAGTGTAGACGCAGAACGTCTGCATCACCTCGGCGCAGCCGTTCTTCGCCTGCAGACAAAACCAGAATATTGTGCGTTCGTCAGTCAAAAGCACGAATCCGGGCAGAATTCCAGCGCGAAAGGCTTAGCAACTGTTGTCTATCAACATCTTAGGGACCTCTTTGAGGTTCGCTTGCAGCATCGTCACCTGAGCGTTTCCGATGTCCCAGATGAAAAACTCTCCCCGCACATCACCCGTGATGGCTCTTGTCTGCCTGCCCTGCCTAGCGTCGACAAAGTGCACCATTGAACCCCCCACGATGAGATGGTTGTGGCCGATAAGCCGGCACCATGGACGTCGCGTTGAAACACTCAGAACCTGTTCGTTAGTCGGAATCGAGGGAGGAAAGAGGATGTGGATTTCACTTCGCTGTTCCAGTTGGGGAGGCAGGGGCGGCAAGTTCGAGACGCTTCGCTGCCCCACTGAAGTAGACGCCGTCATCGGCCGTCAACCCGCTACGCGGATGGGTTGATTCAGAAGACGGAGACATAGTTAGATGGTAAGACGTCCAAGCGAACCGGGCACATCCACAGAGCTCCACATATATCGGCGTTGAGGCGGGCGGAACATGGCGCCATGTTTACGTCACGAGTCCAATGACCATGGCACAGTCTGATCACGCCGGTGGAGGAACGAGTGGCGGAGGCGTTATGTTCGTGGGTGTAACTTACGTGAGCCTCGATTTCCAGGGTGATGCAGAGAACGAGATCTCCGCGGGCATCCACGAACTTGACGGGGCTTCGACGTTTCATCTACAAGCATTCAGGACACATGAAGGCACATTCATGAAACGTTTTAGGTAGCTCTATGTCAAATCCCATGTTCCTGCCGATGCGCACTTTATCAGCAGCGTTTCTTATTTGAAGCAAAAATATCTTACCTGAATGAGAACTTGAACGAAGCATTACCCGCAGGGAAACCTATGCTGTAAACGAACCAGGTGCATCATCTAGCCACAAGGTTCCCCGAAGCTCCAACGAACTCCATAGTGGCATCAAACGAATCGGAGGCGACCATGCTCCTTCTTCCCGCCCTCCCGACGATACAGACCACTATTCTCAGCAAGCTATCCTTCTACCTCGGCGACAGGAGAGAAGTGGTCCGCGTCCCAAAGTCGAACCGTCTTGTCGAAGGCGCACGTGGCGAACTGTCCATGCTGAGGGATGTACGTCACGCCCGTGACTCTGGCACGGTGGCCCTGCATGACGGCCAGCCGCAGCTGCTTGTCTACGCACCACGCCGTCACCTCGTGGTTGACCCCAGCTGACACCGGCACGCGTGTGGGACAGCAGGTGTGTGGATCGAAGGAAATGTCAATCAAGTTGTGTTTCTCTTTGAGGCCACTCCGATGGCTGCTTGTTGCAAGAAACCGACTCTGTGTTGCCAACACGCAAAAGCGGTCGGATAATCCTTCGTCGTGGCAGCAGTTGTGCTTGACGAACCAACTCTAGGCTGTATACCCCTTGATAACGCGTTCGAGAGATAGGAACCTCCTGAATCTGTTGATAGTTCAGACAACATCGGACAACAGCCTTTATCTTTCGGGCTCACCGGATACCAGAAACCCTCGTTCGTGAGGAACCCAGGTGACCAAGATTTGCGCGGATCGACTGTGCAAACTGCAGCGCCAGATTGCGTTCTCGCTTCCATGGTTGTAGTGCCACACCGATATGGCATGGTCCGTTGATGAGATGACGACGATGCCCTGTGTGCGGAATTTTTCAAGTGTTTGCTTGTATGCGTGAAACCGAGAATGAGCTTGCTGCTCGACGGGGTTGCATGCTGGTGGCTAATAACGCCCGCAGGTCAAGCACAGCGTGTGGAATAACGGATTAGGCAGCAATCTAAGATGAAATGGACCACCCTGTGCATCCCATCTCAAACACGCGGTTGCAGCCATATTCAGCCCATTCTATCTACACTCGCGGCTCATTCGGCCACCACAAGTTAGAAACAACGAAACAAAAAAACTGGTCGCTTGGTAGCGGCCACATGTTATGCCCTGGAAAACGTCGCCAGTCCCCTGGTATCCACTCCGGTTTGCTCTCACCTTGGTGTCGATGCACTCGACATCCAACACCGTGAGGAACGACTCGTGAGGGTTGAGCCCTCCGGTTGTGACGGTCTGTAGAGTGCTTGGGCATAGGGTCACGTGTAGCCGTCCGGTATATCCGTTGAGAATGCTGTCGATACACAGCGAAAAGACAAGGCCAAGCGGTTGTTTTGGTCCGTTGCTTGGCCCACGCTTGCATTGTTTCTTTGGCAACGCGTGTGTAGCATCTCTTCGCTCACAAAGAGAGTTGTAGCGCAGGATATCGAAGCTTTCCATTTTCTTGCCGGAGAGTGTTTCCGCCGTCCGAAGCATCACGGAACACAGAGACACCGTTCGGACCTAGAGAATCCTCACAAGTGCCACAACGTCTACCGTATCCTCCATCGTGTATCTGCCCTGTGTTCCTTCATTCTGAGTCCGATTTTCACTCTAAGAACTAGCAAACAGATCGCACAACCGGAATAGAATATTCAAAATTCATGATCATCAATGGGCTCCTAAGGTGTTCATAGGGAGAAAAACCTCCAATTCCTGGAGCGCATGGAAATGAGTTTCGAATGGAGCCGCGAGATGCATGGGTCAAAGACCAACAACGAGCTTTGCCGGTTCTGCAGAGAGGTTGTTGCACAGTCATCAACAGTCTGTTAATGTGTACTACTTTCCCTCTACCTGACGTAGCTTCCTCGTTCCTCGAGACCCACGACGAGGTGCATGAGAGGCAGACTTATCAACTTCGTCGGCTTCCTCACGGCTAACTCGAAGTTCGAGTCCACCTCCCACTGCAGCGTCTCGTCGGCCCAGCACCGCACGGCCTGAGTCGAGCGAAGTATGATGTGGCGGTCGATGAGTGAGATATTCCCATGTTTGACCTTTCGGTTGCTGTTAGATTGTTTGACTTAGGGGAACTTTCAGAGTGAGTTTGGAACGATTTGGATATCAGTACCTAGCGGGTTCAAAGTGCTGGTTGTCTGATGACTTCTGAGCTGTTAAACCGGTGAGGACCTGCTAGGTGGATAGTGGGGGTTTTAATGTACTTGGCCTAGGAAGAAACTTCGTTGCCTACACGACCGTCCAGGGGGCCACCATTCACTCTGGCCACAGCCATGCGATGCTTGTATCCTTAGACATGAAGACGTCCATCAATCCGAATGGAGGTACGTTGATGGCACCGGTGTACAACCGCACGGGACCGCGCCTACCTGTGAATGAGTGTTGATCGTCGCTGCCTCAACCCAAAAGGTGGTAAACTGCTCCCACGCGAGCACATCCTTTCCCGACCTTAATCCCGTGAACGCCTCTGCTCCATCTCTGCTCGTTTTGTTTTGTTAGGACCACCAACACAGACAGAGAGAAAGATTCCCTGACGCTGTTCAGCGCTGTGGCTTATATTTGACCGAGTTCTAGGGATAGGGTAAATCCTTACGCCTTTCCGGATGTATGCGCGCGTCGTGGTTTTCGAACCAGACTCTCTCTCTTTCATTGTCATTGGTTGAGCATGGAAACGAAGAGACTGGTTCATGGCATGCGAACATTCCGCAGCAAATCATCCTCTAAAGTTGCACATCGCCTGAAATTGACTTGACTTTTGAGACCTTTCATCTCGTCAAGCTGTCGGAGGCAGGCTAGAGAGTGAGAGAAATCACACTCGGCGACCCCCGCATGTATCCAAATCAAGCACCAAACAAGGTGTGTCTAAATCGCCAGGAGAGTTCCATCGGTGACAAGAGGATCTAGGTGGTCGGAAAACTTCATGGAGGGGCACCTGTGGGGGTACCGCCGTGCCAACACGAAAAACGACCACTGTTGTTCATGGCTCTTTCACCTCTTTGTACGTGATATCTGGTCAAATAGGTCGGAGAGGAGGCTCGTCAGCTCCAAGCGCTGGCGCTCGTCCCGGAGAGGAACATGTGCTCGCAGCAGGACCTGGTGCAATATGACGCCGCTGGAACTATGAAAAGAAACCCAACAATGTGGTTGTTATATGTCTCGAGCCTCTGGAGCAGGTGCTACCCTATTCCGACAGAACCACCCTCACGCAGCTTCATCAGGCCCCTAAGCGGCACCGCCGCAGCCTCAAGAATTGAGGACTAAGGGAGAGCTAGAAATGATGGTCCCACTCGGAGTGAGAAAGTCGTTCCGTCTCGAAAGGGGCCAGCGGAGTCCGCCCCCACTCATCCCCATCATTCGTCACGAAACACTCCACCTGCACTGGGTTTACCATGGAAGCACAATTGTCGTCGAATCCGAGCAAGATCCTGCGCAATGCCCAACGTCTGTTGCTTCTACACCAACGAAGCACTTCTACTGCATCGCGACGCTCCCTCAGACGGCAAGGACAGCTTGTCATTCCCCAAGCCACCACCGAACGTTTCTCACCCGCAGCATTATTCCCAGGAAAAGCTCTTTGGTGACCCCGAAGGTCCCTCCTTTCACCCAATCAGCCTTCAGCGCCTCGAGATCCTCGACGGGGAGAAAGCTGACGATATCATAAACACGCCTGGCCAAGGGAGGGCGTTTGTGACAACTTTAGGTGCTCTCACGAAAAGAACCCGATTCTGGGTGAACCTCGTGGTCTTCATACACACGGGGCCGAAGTTGAGCATGGTCTACGACGTTGAGGTGCATGAAGAAGAGGGACACTCGCCACTGAGTTGAGACACATTCTCATCTTGTTCTACGGCTCCAGCAGCCACTACTACGCAGTGTATAGCCGGGCTTGACAATGAGCATCATAGACAAAAAACGAACGGTAAACCGACCACACTACCTGATCAGGAGTTCCTGTCCGATGACTTCGATGGAGGGAATCCACTCCCGAAGATAGCACTGGACGAGAGGTATCACCTGTTCAACCAATGCCATAAAATCGTCCGACAGCACATGTGCGATATAAGCTGTGTGTGGCGGCCCGAAAAGCTCACTTTTTCACAGCACCCCAGGTACTGCGGAACGGAGACTATCATTTATGCCTGGTCAAAACTGCGGAATCTGTAAAGAACATACGATGATTGCTCGCCAGGAGGGCTGGTTCAAAAATAGTCTGTCCTGGAACACTACCCAGATCACAACAACCTGTTGTTCTCAGAGCTCGCAAGTTTGACCCAGGGCAGCCCTACGTACCAACCCTTTTTTTTTGCTGCTTCCTAGTGTCCTAAAAAAAAAAGTCATTGCCGAGATACCGAATGATTCTTCTCAGAAAGCTTGGCGGTTTTTTGACACCCGTAACATGCTCTGCCGGCTATCTGTTTGATCTCTCGATAAACCCAGATGTCCTCTAAGACTTTGAGCCAATTGCCGCCGCATTCCCTGCTCAAGTTTGAACCTAGATAACAGCGAATACCATTTTTGTCCGTACACCACCCCGTGCACTCCTCCAGGGCGTTTGCTGACGTACCCCGCAAAATGCCACAACGCCACCCTTCGCCATCGAAAGCCCCCCCCCCCCCCCCCTACGCTGGAAATATCTGTTGCTTGTGCCGAGAGAGAAGAACAGAATCTAAGGAAAGAAAACCAAGGATAAGGAGGGTCTAGAATGTGTACGGAATGTTGAAAGAAGGAATAGGGTTCAAGGATTACCTACATGGACCAATGGATGCAGGGACAAAGCTTAGGGCCAAATTCAGGACCGGGGACATAGGCCTTCGAGAACGTCGACGAAGACATAGGACGGTAGACGACGAAGACGACAAGTTCAAATGTGATTGCGGCTTCGAATGCGAAGACCGTGTTCATGTAGTCGCGGAATGTCCGTGGTACGAAGAGGAGAGGGAAGTGTACATGACTGAGCTGGGAAAAATACAAGGGACGTACAGGGAGATTTTTGAGACATGGAATAGAGAGGAGAGGACGGTAGCTGTACTCGGGAGTAGGAAGTGGTTTGAAAAGGCGGGAAGGGATATCGTTAGGATAGACAGACTAGGGAAGACATTTTTGAGCCACCTTTGGCAAAGTAGGAAGGAACGATTGGCCATCGGTGATCGGTCCTGTGGGAACAATGCTCCGTCCTCTCGAGGACGCGTGGTCAATGGTCTAACCGCTAAGACATGCAAAACACAAGAGTACGCCCTCCCCCTCCCCCCCGGTGGATCGATGCCGTCAGCAAAAAGACACCATTCCACGAGAGTATGGCAGTGGTTATCCACAGCACGAAGCACGAAATAGTCGAACCTATCCCACGCAAACGTTTACAGCCTGAACGGCCGAGAACTGGTAGCGACCCTACGGAAAAGAACGTGTAAAGTTACCTCCTGCGGTGTGTCTACGTGCGATGCGAGGACGTTTGGTGCTCGCAGGTTCCACGCTCCTGGCTCTCCTCCTACCCCGGGAGGTCCGCCACCCACATCACCCGCTACTGCCGCAGCCTGAGAAAGCAATCTCCTGATATCGCCGAGGACTATAACATTGGGCATGCTCGACTGTCGGCTAGGTAAGCTGCGGCCGTTTCGCTTCGTCCCGAAACAACCCTCCTGTGGGGAGCATTTTCGGAAGGACGTGAAACGTTTCAATCTCTCGAAAGAATTTTTGATCCGCTATTGGCGTGGTTGTGGATGGGAGGTGGTCGTGTGTCATGCCTGGTGTATCGACAGGAGAAGGTTCGTGGAAGAGGATTTTCTATAAACAACAACGACATGTCAAAAAGCAATGACAACAACAGCAGCATCATCAGCATCATCAGCATCATCAGCAACAACAAAACAGCCACCACATTTGAAACAACGTACCCGGGAGAAGACAACCCTCGCGATCTCCCTCTCCAGTGAATCTGACAGTAGATGCGACGGAGCGAGTATGCGAAGCTGGATGCTTCGAAGGGCGGAGAAAGTATTCTTGCCGTAGGTGGTGGCCACCAGGCAAGCCGAGTAAATCTGGGGCCGATCCGATTTTTATGTTGTCGGGGTGATGCAGAAATGGTGGTATCTTTCAGTGTTGTTCGCTCCTTAGATCGGAGTCTTGCATTGAAAGGCATTGACTTGGTTAATGAGGTCCGTATGTTGTCTACCGAAGACAATGTACAGCTGGCTCACATATGCCTTCGGAATATTTGCTGCTCGTGCTTGGACAACATACCAAGCCAAGCAACACGCACACAGGAGTGCGATTTGTACTGTTGTGCTCACCCTCTTGTGCACCATGGAGAGATCGAAGTCCATATCCTCCCATATCTTGCCGGCTTCGGGTTGAACCGAGTCGTGCTTGTGAACGATCCCTCCGTCAGTGGAAGCGGGGCATCCACAGCCGACAGTTTCAACGTAGCTTCCCTGGCCGGAAAAATGTTCCCCGCACAAATGAAAGCATGGGCATCGAGGAGAATCGGTGAAGAACTTATGCTAACCAACGGAAAAATGAAAACAATGAACTGGTCCTGCTATGCCCGATCGTGGTCACTCCTACAAGTGGAGCGCCTACACCTATGCCCTGGCTTCGGCCGACGCAGGTGAATCAATGGGACCTAGTGTCCCAGCAGCGAACAGAATCATGTCTTAACGGTTTGTCTTAGTCGAACTCCAGCTACTTGTCGCCATTCGCCACAACTGAAGGAGGCTACAATATACAAAGGTCCAGTTTTGGACAGATCAGATGGCTAGTTTTTGGACCTATGCAGCCAGACGCAGACATCTCGTGCGATTATAGGGCAAGGTACACGAATCAGTAGTTCTATAAAAAATCATGACTCTACCTTACCCTTCGTAGCCGAGCTCACCTTGGCGTCGAAGAGAAAGGCTGAGATATCGACGTCCAAGTTCTCGACTTTCTCCCCTACAAAGCACACGAATTCCTTCCACGGGTAGATCGGGAGAACGATGGAAGAATTCGTTTCAGAGCGGGGATCAAAGTTAGATGGAGATATGTAGATGGGGCTGCCAGATCAGATCGGAGGTGGTGTTGATGCGACTGAGGGCGTGCACAGCATACACCTTTTCAATGTAGAGGAAAGAAAAAGATGGCGCACACCAGACGACTGCCTACATCTCCGTAGTATAAACCCTTGGACTCCGTTGACTGCGTGCACTTCGTAGGGATGGTCTTACTAGTTGGACCTGCGTTTTTAGGAGGCCGACAGGGACGCATTGACTCGTTTCCCACTGCACACGCTATTTTGTAAGAGCATCATCCGACGAACGAAAAGCACGAAACACGCCTGCCGGCAAAAAACGCGGCAGGAGGTTCCTCTTGTATTGTCGACTCTAATCTCTCACCAGCCTAAACCTTGTGACGTCCGGGGGGAAGTCGAAGGGATGGTATCCATGTTGCCACTTGTTTTGGTTGGTATCAAGGATCCTCACGGGCAGTTGGCTGCCGCAGGAAGAGGGATATATAGACACAGATGAGAACCTCAATCTACATGACGACGAGCTGTATCTTCAAGTGTTCTAAGATATACGGTAAGATCTACGGCCGGCTGCGGGTGTTGATCTAACAGGAGTTGGTTCTGCACTTCGTCCACCATAAAGCCTCTTCAAGTCAATCTCCTTCTCGCGGCCCGCCCTATCAAACCACATCATCATCTAGTCACGTGCTGTGTTCGATCGGTTGGCAAATGTACACGACCACAAAGCAAAATCCTGAACATGCACGAACGACGAAGAGGAATCAGACACATCCCTGTTTTCGTCCCACCTTGTGTCCGCCGATTTTCCGCCCTCAGGGTGGTCTTCCGTATCCACCATATAGCATGTGATGCCACAGCTCTGGCATCGGCAGCCACGGTAGAGGTCTTCGGTGTAGGTGCGATACCCGTGGCTGACGTTGGCGAGGACACTAGGTTGCACTTACAGACAAGTACGGCAAGTACGGACGGAGGGGGGCCGGAGATTCGCAGAACCTTGTTTCACACATATGGTTGTAGAACCAGTGGAGATCCCACGGAGCACCCTTTCCTGGTTTTGATCTCACGGGCAGAGGGACACTCTGCACTGAGCAACGCAGTAACGCGCTGAAACCATGAGCACAGGCGCCCGATTATCGCAAGCTATGGTGCTGGCGGTGGCCCTGGTCAGCACTCCGAGAGCCGTGTCCTTTGTTGGTGTAGGTTCAATGACACGGATGAGAAATATTGGGTTTGAATCGAGAGCAGCAGATAGACTGCACGGGGTAAGTGAACGTGCTGTGCGTAGCGGCGTCGCAACAGGATGGAGAAGAAGAGACAGCAGAAGTCTGGCCATGGCGACAGTGGACGAGGAAGAGGCGATTCGGGCTGCTGCTCTTGCCAATGTGAGCGAGACCAGACAGCCATCAGGATGGAGCCAGCCGCGATCAATCATGTGCAAAACTGCGACGTACACCCCACATTTTAAACTTGCCGACCGCTGCCGAGCACACACACGTGGAGCAAGCGGGCACCACGTAGGGCGCCGTACATCCTCAGTACATCGGTGCAGTCCGTACCTGGTGTACCTCCCTCCGCTTTTGCAGCGTGGTGTTGGCATCGATCGAGAGATGGCAACTACAACACTACAACACGTCGCTTCGTATAAGAGCGTTGCTTCGTATAAGAGGGCTCTCGTTTTATTTTATTTATTTTATTTTTCTTAATATGACACAACGAAACCATCTCTATTGTTTTATTGTACCGCATTCCGAAAAAAAAAAATGCGCACGCACCAACCATGGCCAGTGTTGTAGAAGACCAAGTTTTGCCAGTTTTGCTGCACCAACAGCAGGAACTGCGTGTGGCTGTTTGCTTGAAAGGTAGTAGCAGCTGTTCGTGGACAGCTCAGCGTGTTGGTGTGACAACCTTGGCGGACCAAGACAAGCACCGGATACGGCGGTTCTCCTTACCAGAACATCCTATTGGACTACAATACCGACCGGGGGTGACATTGGAGATCACACACCCTGGACCGATTTTCAACGTTCGATTGCTCCACAGCGGAGAGAGCAGCTGCCCAAACCGCAGTGGTGTTGAAGCCCTCTGACCGAGAGCTTTCCGAAAACGTATGGTTGTCACTCATTTTTCCTCTTCGTCGTGGGGCGATGGAGCTTCGAAAACCGGTCCAAGGGGGGGGGTGGTATCTTGTGTCGCCCACCGTACATATGCATGGGAACTACTGTAGCAACACTTGTTGCTCCTTGCCCTTCTCCCAAAAGGTGGTGACAGGCACGCCGCAGGTGTTGGTGGCTGACGGCCTCACCAACACCTTCGACGGTGCCCGATTCCAGTTCGAGGACTTGCAGCTCACGGTTTGCCGGGGGCAGAAGCTGGGTCTGGTGGGGATCAATGGCTGCGGGAAGTCGACGCTTCTCAAGGTGATCTTTGGTTCGCTTTCCTGTTGCCGTTGGTTCGTCATTTCTTTTCCTCTCTTGTCTCTCTCTGATCTGATTTCATCGCCTTTGTCATGAGTCTAGTTCGTGCCTTGCGATAGAAAGAGTTGACGCGTAGTCGGTAGATTTTCGCAACAGTGTCGACGCGCATCCTCGCGATTAGGTGTGCGGTGGCCTTCGGCCCGCACTTATGAGCACCACCTGCAATGACCACCTGCCATTCTGTTTATGAGCACCACCTGCCATGGCATGTAGGGAGACTTGGGGGAACGAGAGCGAGAACAAAGCGGCAGCTAGTACACGCCCCGCGCAGCCTACGCGGAGCCGTCTTGAAATGTCGCGCAACGGCGAGTGCGGTCACGAAAATCACGCTTGACAACGAGACTTTTCGGGCAGTCAAACATACCACGACTTTGCGAAGCACACTTAAATTACTGGTTGTCTGGCCCGTCGCAATGAAAGGTGCTGGGAAAGAAGGAGAGTTGTGACTCCGGCACGATCGAGTCTCCCAAGGCAACTGTCGTGACGTACGTGGAGCAAGACCCCGAGTTTCCGACGGGGTCCACCGTCAAGGATGCCGTTTACGGGGCGGACAACCCTCTCATGCGGTGCGTGGATAATGACGGCACAGTAGTTCAATTGTTGCTCTATACTCGAGGGGGCGCCAATGCCTTTAAGTTGGCTTTACAAACCCTTGTGGAGAGGTTTCCGTAGACAGACGTGTCGATTAGGGTCCCACTTGCTGGGTACCTGATCGTCGGCGAAAACCAGTCGAGGGGGGGGGTCCTCCTCGTTCTGCGTTGCGTGTATAGCAGTACCGACCACCAAATTGATTACCAGAAATAGGTTGTTCGTGTGTGTGTTGATGCATCCGTTACTTGTTGTCGTTGTTGTTGTTGTTGTTGTTGTTTTTGTTGTGAGTTTTCTGTAGCTTGTTATGTTCAACGCAAAGCGAAAAGGTTCAGTTAAGTTTCTTGTGCGTTCGTAGTAGAGGACACAGTGCCCAGCACCCATCCCTGACACTGCTGGACACACTAGTCCTAATCCCTCTCGGAGACCTCGGGGCACAGTTTCATAGTTCATGCCCAATAAGGGATTTCTTGTGACAGTCCCGGTTCTATTCTGTCTTGCAGGGAAAATGGGACGGCTGGACAACTTTCCTTTTTTTTTTCAGGGTGTGCATTAACCAAAAGAAAATGAAACAAACTTGAGGATACACATCCTGGTTGGGCATTGGGGGAGGAAGGGGAGGTGGGCGAAGTTGGTTCCTCTTGGTTCTGTGCTCGATGCTCTTCCCTTGCCTGTTGTCTGTGATGGTTCCTTTTCCTCCTTGTACTCCGAAACCTGAATCTAAGGTTTGGTTGGATGCGGCTACTTGGTTGCTTGTTTCGGTTTTGGGCAAGGCGCAAAGATTGCACCAGCTGCGTTTGTTCTTGCCCCTATGTCCCTCCTCACAGATACGCTGTAGTGACATATTCCTAGCTAGCAGACGTACGTACATGCGCCGTGGTGTTTTGCCAGGTTGATTTTCTCTTGCCCAATACTGTACCGACTTGCCGACCTCGGCCGGCCCTTCGTTTTTTTCGTGTTTGTCGCTTTTTCCCTCACCGACAACTTAGAACCGTGCAGGCCTATCGCCTGGCTCTTCATTTTCGGCTGATTTGTTTTCGTGTTTGTTGCTTTGTTTCTGCCGACAACTCAGAGCCGTGTGGGCCGATCACCCGGCTCTTCAGTTTTCACCTCTTCGTGTCTGTAGCTTCCCCCCCCCGCCAACACCTTAGAGCAGTGCGGGCCTATCACCTGGCTCTTCATGGTTCGGCTGATTGTGTTTTTTTCGTGTTTGTCTATGTTTCGCCCCCCGACAACGTATAGCCATGCTGGTCTATCACCTGGCTCTTCATTTTCGGCTGAAATTGTTTTTTTTGTGTTCGTTACTTTTTTGTTCTACCGATATCGCAGCGCCGTGCGGGCCTATCAGCTGGCGACGGAGGCGATCGAGGGCGCGGGCGCGGACCCCGACGCGCTAGAGAAAGCCATGGACCGGTTCGAGAAGGCGACGGCAACCATGGACAGAGTCGGGGGGTGGGACGTAGAGACGTACGCTCAGCAGGTGACCCGTGACCTTTCACGTGCATCTTGACGAGGTTTTCCAACGTATAGGGAGGCGTGCAGATTGGACGGGATGGGGTGCCATATTGCGCACGAGAGAGAAAGTTATGTTGTGCGTGTTCTTGCCAACTTGCGTTAAAGTTTTAGTCATTTTTTCCACGTGAGAGAGGGGAAGAATGAGATTTCTACCATCCTCCGGCCTGGCTTCCTGCAGCGTTGCTGTTGTTTTGTTTTCACTCGTTTTATCAAGCAAACGCCGTCATTGTGCACGCCGCGTCGCTCTTGTTTGTCGGGGTTCGAGCGCCTTCGACGTATTAGAACAACGCACTGGTCACTGCGATAGATACCCCAGACGACGAGATCTGCCCGAGCACGGCACGGGTTGGGAGGCCGACACGCACGACGGTCCCAAGAACTGAATTCCGTGCCGTATTACCGGCCTTGCTTTTCTTTTCTGCGGAACGTCACACACATCCCGCTTTTGGGACCCGCACGCCCGGTCGGTTAGTTACCCGCCGCCCGCCCGCTCGACGCCCATCCCCCCCACAGGTCATGTCTCGGTTGGGCGTGATGTCCCTGGAGGGCTCGCAGGTGGTCAACCTGTCGGGGGGGCAGCGCAAGAGGGTCGCCCTGGCGGCAGCCCTGGTACAGAAGCCTGACGTGCTTCTTCTCGACGAGGTGTGAGCGAAAAATCGCTTGTAGGTGCTGTGACGGGGGACTACTAATGTGTTGGGGTTAGGGCGCTGTGTTTTTTTTTCTCGGCCCTCCCTGAGGCTTGGGTAGTGCCAGACGAGGAGCTTCCGTGGGGGGTGGTGCTTCTGTACGCTCCGTGCTTGTGGTGAAGGCGTTGGCGTGCTAGGCGGATTAGGCCCGGAAACACCCGGGGAACGGACCTGTTGCCAAAAGTATGGCAAGTTCAAGAAGCCTAAACAGGTGTAGGTTGTGACCCCGTTTTCCCGGTAACCATGCTACTTTTCGCAGTTATCTCTGCCGTTGCGCAATCAACTCCAGCATGTTCTTCCGTCTAGGGCAACAAACTTGATCTTTGGATATGTTTTGGAGCGTGTTTCGTTTTTCGTTGCAGACTGCTGTACCCGTGGGAAGCGGTTCCCAGACCCGAAACCTGTACCGCAGTTTTCCCCGAATTTCTCACGGCCTGAGTGGAGACGAAGTGTAACACACGCAAGCCGCCCATTGCTAAATGCGTTGAAGGAATAAGTCTGTTCGCTGTTTTATCCTTGAGAAGCTGGACGGTGGCTTGAATCATGCCCGACGAGGTTTAAGACACGCGCATACAGCTTTTTCGCTACGAAAAGGGAACCGTCGGACACACTCGCTTCTGTTATCGTTAACGTTTCTGTTATCGTTAACGCGAGAGAAGAAAATGTTGCCCATGGCAACAGGCGGTGCTAATTGAGCCCCCTCCTTTTGCCACGTTTGCTTTCTGCTCTGTCGCTCCTCCGCCTCCCCCGTCCCGTCCCGTACGTTCAGCCAACGAACCATTTGGATGTGGAAGCGATCGAGTGGTTGGAAAAGCTGTTGGCGGAGCGTTCCTTGACCTTCGTGTGCGTGACGCACGACCGCTATTTCTTGGAGAACGTTTGCCAAGAGATCATCGAACTCGACACCGCCAAGCTGTACAGGTTTGGTTACATCTCAAGTGTTCCTTGTCCTTCGAAAATTGGCGTTTCATTTGACTTCTGTGGACCCGTTTTGTCGCCCGTCCCACAAATGATACCGGCAATACAAAATCTACCATAGCCGATGTTGCCCCGTGCTGTTGAAGGGGCTAGTGTCGATTCCAGGAAGTAATGGCGGCGAAACGCTTTTTTTTCTGGCAGCCGAGGCATGTTTTCGGAGAACGGTGCGTCCAATTCTCCCGCACGCTGTTCTTTTTCCGTACGGAGTTATGTACAAAAGATGCTACTATGGACGTGCCATCTTCTTCGTTGCGGAGACGAACAACATGGCGGTGCATTCGGCTCCGCAATGGCAGCTTGCTTTTGAAGGGCGAGGTTGAGCATGCCAGTTCAAGACGCTGCTCGCTGTCGGGGGTTCGCTGCATGTCCATACGATCAAAAGTCATTTCGCCGCGCGACACACCAATTCAGTGTGAGTGCTGCACTGTTGTGTGATGGCTTTACCCCCCCCCGCGTGTATACTATCTACAGGTACCCCGGAAGCTACGAGCGCTTCCTGGAGCTCAAGGAAGAGAGGATGAACGCCGAGGGGGCGGCGCGGGACAGAGCCCGGAACAAGCTGCGCGGGGAGCTGGCGTGGATGCGAAAGCAGCCCAAGGCGCGGCAGGCAAAGAGCAAGGCCCGAGAGGAGAGGTTCTACGAGCTCAAGACTAAGGTGTGCGCTCTTCTTGCCGTGGCGGTTTTTGAAGGGCCGGCTGCGCTCGATGGACCTTGTTTGTTTATTTTTCGAGGTCAAGACTAAGCTGTGCGCCTTGTTTCTTTTGTTGCTATCGCGGCGGTTTTTGAAGGGCTGGCTGCGCACGATGGACCTTTTTTTTTTAGTTTTCGAGCTCAAGACTAAGGTGTGCGCCTTGTTTCTCCGCGTGCCGTGGCGGTTTTTGAAGGGCCTGCTGCGCACGAAGGACCTTGTTATTTTTGTCCTCGGTTTAGTTGTTGACGGTGCCTTTTCTTCGTCTCATGGCTGTTTTGGTTGTTCTCCTGTTGTTCGACGAAAGCCGGTGATATTTTGATCGCCGTAGGAGCGCAAGATCCAGCAGCTGCTGCGTTTCGTACGCATTTCTTTGACGCACTTCCATGAAATGCGGTGGGAAAGTGTGTGGCTTCAGCTTTCGCCTTAAAACGTGTGCTCATTTTTTCGTCGTCATCGTTTGGAAGCGGCGATGCTTGATAATTCAGCAATACCGTATCTACAACGGTCGTAGTTGGCGGGGCAGAAAACACCGCCGGTTCTCCCAATTGCCCCGAAATGGCTTCGTAGATATCGTTTGTTCAAAAGATGCAAAAAGAACGAAGGTCGCGGCATTCTAAAACCGATATTCGGCTCAACCCAGATGTACCGTCCAACCGTTGCTTGTACTTTTGTCTCTACTGCTGCCGACGCGTCCCCGCTTTTTTGTTCCACCTTTGAGCGCAGGCGGCGGCGCCAGCCGGTGCGAGCGACAAGGGACTGACCCTCTCTTCGAAGACTCAGAGGCTTGGCAAGACGGTCGTCTACCTTAAGGGTATGTTGCGTTTGTCTTCACATCACATGGTATGGTATCATACATTTAGCACGGTTCCGTGCTCGTACACCGCACACGTCTTAAGTTTTCGACAAGGGAGTTTTTTTTTTTTTTCGCGCCGCGCAAGTTGAATCGACTCGGTTTTCGGAAAGCCTCCGCCGACGTACATCTGCATGCTTCGATGCCCATGTATTATCTGCTGCTTTTCCCCAAAAACTCTGTTCAGAGCCACCTGTGAACTTCATACTAATCCAGCACTAGGGGCCACGTTGCTTTTGGCACCAAAGAGTCAGCGGTACATAGTCTGTGGATTTTTGTTCGGACCGGCAGAAGCCTCCCATGATTTGGAGACACCTGCAGCGCCAAGTTGTTTGGCTTCAGTGTAGCTTTGGTGACCGTGAACCTACCCGTAGGCTTGACGGTATCCACGTGGTCGCTGTGCTAGGCCTGTCAAGAGTGCACTACACTACTGTTGCTGCGGACCCTCCAGCCGAACGCAAGTCGTGGACGGACCTTTTGCCGTGTGTGGCGTTTTTCCTTGACGCCCGTACCCGTATTATACTTGGGTGTGGTATAGCTCGAAGAACCCCCCCCGTCCCCTGTATTGCGTGTGGTTGCATGCCTCCACAAACCGACGTATCACCACCCCCCAACAGATCTCCTACGTTTAACTGTTGCCTCTCCTCCTATGTATCCTCCCTTGTGCCGGTTCGTATTCTCCCTTGTGCCGGTTCGACCACCGAACGGAAACGAACTAAAGGCGCGTCGCTCAAGTTCTCGGCCAAGATCCTGGACAACTTCGCGTACGAGTTCGACAGGGGGGACCGCATCGGGATCGTCGGGGGGAACGGCGTCGGCAAGACGACGTTCTTGAATGTCCTCATGGGAAAGCAGCTACTCGACACCGGGGAGGTTGTGACGGGGGGCACCGTGAGGTGAAGCGCGTTTCGCTGTAGGGAGGGGGGGAGTGTTGGTTGGTGCTTCTGTTTTCGCGGTTTCGATCACATATCGCTTGTATGCTTGTAGAGACGGGAGGGGAGGAGGGTGAGTGGAGATAGGGATGGAAGGACAACCAGAGACCGCTACGGCAAGTGGCGGGGGGGCGGGGGGGTTGACAGGAGTGAAACCACGGGGGGGATGCATTCTGAGACGCCCGTGTCAAGGTTTGTGCCCTTGCCCTTGCGACTGGTTCCGCTTGGCCCACGATTTGCGATCAGGTCCTGGCATGCGAATGAAAATTAGATGCCGACAAGATGCTCCGCGCAACGCTAGGGAGGTTTCATCGTGCCCGCGTGACTGTTCGTTGTGACAGGTACGGGTATTACGAACAGGGGGGGCTGGTCGACATGGACGACGACGTTCGGGTCATGGAGCTGGTCGAAGACACGGTGAGCCAAGAGCAGCGTCTTCATGCCCGAGAGAAAAGGGAGGTTGTTTTCTCCCCTCGACGAGTGTCTGACACGAGAGCAACAACAACGGGGAGAATACGCACACTCTGTTATTTTTGTCATTCGAAAAAGAAGCACACGTTTTTTGTTTCTCTTTCGAATCTCCTCGTGACGCTTTTTCTCATACCCTAACCAAACGACATAACAGTTCGATTGCTTCACCATAAAACGTGATTTTTTTTCGCCTGGTCCTTCAACAAATCTCCCCCATTTGTCGACGTAATTGTTCACTGTCTCCCCTCCCTTGCCGTCGCGTGTGCTTGCTCCGAAAACCTGCAGTGCGCGGGCGCGGAGGTGGGCGAGGACGAGGAGCCGGTTCCTCCACAGGTACAGGCACGGCGCCTGTTAAACTTGTTCCAGTTCCCGGCGGCGAGGTGGAACGACCGAGTCGGCCGGCTCAGCGGCGGCGAGAAGCGGCGGCTGCAGCTTCTCAAGGTCCTGGCGACGAACCCCAACTTCCTGGTGCTCGACGAGCCCACCAACGACCTGGACATCCTGTCGCTCCAGATCTTGGAGGACTTCCTGCTGAACGACTACAAGGGGTGCCTCGTCATCGTGTCCCACGACAGGTGAGGGCTCTTTTCCCGCCCTCGTAAACAAGGGGGAGTCTAGATGGTTGTGCTCCGCCTCATACTCCGCGTGCTTTTTTTGCCAATGCCGCGCGCATGTCTTTGTAGCCGTCTATGTCCCTGCGCTGTTTTCCTCGAAGTTTGGCCGACCGGCACCTTCACCTTCGTGTGGTCTGCATATGAAGGCTTCGGCCATGCATGACGTTGGCAGTGCTTCGGCCATGCATGACGTTGGTTGTCCGAATGAAGGCTTCGGCCATGCATGACGTTGGCAGTCTGAATGAAGGCTTCGGCCATGCATGACGTTGGCAGTCTGAATGAAGGCTTCGGCCATGCATGACGTTGGTTGTCCGAATGAAGGCTTCGGCGATGCATGACTAATGATGAACCAACCACCGTCTCCACCCCCCGGCATGCCTGCCTTCCTGAAGGTTTTTCGTAGACAAGGTCGCTAAACACCTGTTCTTGTTCGAGGGGGACGGCGTCGTGCGCGATTTCCAGGGCACCTTCACCGAGTACCTTGACTACCGACAAGACTTTATGAAGCCTGGGGTACGTTGGTGCTAATAGAAGCTCTGGTCAAGCCATTGTTTCCGGTTGGCATTTCGGATGCCGGGTATCATACGTCATGTGAACCTGGGACGCGGAATGCGTCGCGGGTGTTCCTCTATGAGTTCTTCCATGTTGCCATGTACATTTCCATTGGAAACGGGAGAGTTTCTTGTAATCTTGTATTCTTAACATATGAAGAGGGTCCCCTTTCCACATACCAGCAAGGTCGTGTCTATTCCTTCCATGTGCCAAGTTCATTTACAGTTGAAACGGGAGAGTTTCGTGTATTGTCAACGTCAAGGTTCCCTCGCCATGTGTCAGAGAGATCACGTCTCTGTGCGCCCCGCACGCGACTGACCGTTCACGTTTCAGGCCGGAGGCGTTGGGGGCTCCAAAGCCGCGGCGGTCAAGCTAGAGGCGGAAGAGGCGGCCCAAAACAAGGGGTCCTCGCAGGCGGTAGATGCACCGACCCCATCCACTCCCGCTCCGCGAAAGAAGGCCAAGAAGATGTCAAACAAGCAGAGGTTTGAGTTCAGCAACTTGGAAAAGGACATCGAGTCGCTGGGGGAGAGAGGGCGAGAGCTGGACGCGCTGCTAGCGGCGGAGGCGGAAAACCCTTCGGCAGGGTGAGTTAGGACGCGTGCTTTGGCTATCGGAAACGAAAATAGTTCGGCGAGAAATCAAGCGCACAATTTTCAGGAAGACGGCAAACGAACCACTCCAGCTTTTTCCCGGCTGCGTGGTTATATACCGGCAGGTGTAAATGTTGCCCCACTGCAGATGCAAGAAATACAGGATACCTCGACCACCTTTGTTTGTGGGGTATACGATGATAACCTCATCCATGGAATTGTCCATTTTTCTCCATATCTGTGATAATCTGTTGTTGCGTGGGGCCACGCGACGATAGTAAGAGTCTAGTGTCGCATCTTCTTGGCCAGGCTCTATGGGAGGGTGTGATTGCTGACGTAGAGAACAGGTTCCCGTGTGGATTTGAACTAGTGATGTGTGTTGCGAATATATTAAGTGTGGAGCTGCGACTTGTGGGCTACCCGCCCACTTCTAAGGCGCTGCCACTCTGTTTGTTGCAGGTACGATGAAATCGCTGCATGGATGGAGGAGCAGGCGAGAATAGAAGTCGAGACAGAGTCCAAGACCGAGCGATGGCTGGAGCTCGCAGACCTGGAGTAGATTGATTGGACTTTGGCGATGCAAGCGGTTTTGTGGTCCTCTTGATGGACCCATGGGGAAAGGATGTTCACAATGACATCAAACGCATTAGAACTCTTGAGCGCGATTTTGACCCACGGTGTTGTAGCACTCGTTCGTTGTTCAAGGATCAGGAGTCCTGTTCGTGAAGAAGGAGGCAAGTGGAATGATTTTGTTTTCCGTGTTCGAATGAAAGCATAGAATGAAACCAAGGCCCACGAAAGAATCTTCCGTGTGACCCCGGATCGGAGCGGGGAAGGGAGGACTGCAGGGTCAGTAGAAATACGACCCAAGCCGGAATGTTCGAAGGCATGACATTCAAGACAAGCGGACGAAGAACGGCCGGAAAGTAGGAAGTCGATTGACTTCTCTGCTTACTACCCAACCGGCTCACATCCCCTTCCTGCGTCCACAGCCATTTCATAAGGAACACCGCCCCCACTCAATACGAAAATCTCGAAACCGTTCCTCCAGTGAACGGTGTGCACGGCAGCTAAGACTGCATGACTTTCTCTCAAGGCCAGATCTCTTGCAATCTGGACGTGCGTCTTGCTGTGGGTAGTGGACCCGAGGTTTAGGCCGAATTGGCCGTTCAACGTTTGCTCCCCCTCCGTTTCGTCCTCTCCACTCCGGCTGGGTTATTAGAGGTGGTAATCCATGTCTGCTGAGAATTAGAGATGGTGGTTGTGGGAATGGATTCGGAACCCATCGTGATTTCACTTGCAGCGGTTCCAGTCCTGCCGACGACGCCAGTCACTGTAGAAAGGATATGTCCCATAGCCAATGATCCTGAATCACAGCTCACATACATATCTCCTTTCTGGAGCTGTGGAAATACATATATCCAGGGTGATGTGCCTCGTTTAGGCAGTCTTGACGCTGTGGATAAACGTCGTGAACGCAGAATTAGAATCAAAATGCCGTAAGATATTATTCACAGGATGTGGTGCGGCATAACTCCAGCATCGCCATCTGACAACACCAGGTACCGATGGTGATGTACACCACCACCCATACTGTAGATGGCTATCTCCAAATCCCAGAACAGCGGCTACTCACAGGTAAATGCATCAGTTGGACAGAGTGAAACAGCCCACCAAAAGTCGAACTTCCTTGAAAAAAAGTGAAGGTGGATGCCAGATGCCAGCTACCGTATGATGAATGAAAATGAATATGAAGACAACCGAGATGACAAACATACTCTACGCTCGTTTTTGAAGAAGCGCGTTCATTCCCTCCTATTGTGTGAACTCATCACCTTTTTTTTCATTAATGACCAGTTCGTTTGTCACGCGTTCACTTATCGTCGATGGATATGTTCCGACTGTTGGATGCTTTCGTTTGAAACGGGCTGGCCAACAAAACCAGCCAAAACAATGTAAAAAAACTGCCGGCTCGGGCACCATTTGTGTGCCTGGGCCATAACCTCACTACTGGACGTGATCAGACAGACGCGAGACGCGTGTGATACTGCGTGCACCGTCACTTCTTTCGCGGAAATGAATGATGTATCGAACAAAATACGTTCTTGGATCACTGCTGCATGTGGTTGCATGGAGTAGTCATTAACCAGGCGCGTGCCTGGGGCGCGGTATGGACGAAAAGGTCTCGGAAATAACAGCCGTACGCCGGAACTAACTACTACTGTTGTAGATTGCAGAGAGATATCTTACCTGTTGACAAAAGTTGGATGCACTGCTTAAACGACTGAACGTTTGCGGACCAACTGATGATGTTCTTTTGTCGTTCTTTTTCTCAACTGAATTTTTTCTGCCAAACAATTCACATGTATGTGTGAATAATGCCAGCTCTTCCAGTACCGGAGTCTCGAGCGGGAAATTTCCTTGCGTGGGATGCTCCTTCAGTACAGTAATAAAACAATTTCCTTGCGCCCTTAGCACTGGCGGCGGAATTACTACTGGCCTGTAGGTCGTGCGATCCACATATGTACGACAATGCCAACACCGCCATCCATCGCCCCATCTGCCTAGGGAACGCACATCGCGGAAACTTGACGGGTCTATACATGGAGAACCCTCTGGTCGCAAGCATGGCAGTGACCGCACGCCTGGCAGCGCTGACGGACGCCACACAACGCCTCTTCTTCGCCTCAGTGTGCACGGGATGGAGCAATGCGTGGAAGCAACACCTCCTGTTAGCGACCTCGACTACTGACCCGAAACAACAGCCGTCTCGTGTTGACAACAACAGCGGGTCTGCTAGGGATGGCAGCGCTCGTGTTGACAACAACAACGGATCTGCCAGAAATGGCAGTGCGGTGGCTACTGCCACTTCCGTTTCATACAACAGTGGTTTCGGCAATCACTTTTCGACGGAGGCGCTCCCGGGTGCACTGCCTGCAGGGCAGAACAACCCCAAGAGATGCCCCTACGGCCTGTACGCGGAGCAAATATCGGGCACAGCCTTCACGGCGCCTCGCGCGAGAAACAGAAGAACATGGTGCTACAGGATCCGCCCCTCCGTTTCACACCGACCCTTCCAGTCCGTCGCTGCGAACCCGTTCGAGAATGACTTTATTGCCATGAAAAACGACCCGTCGCAGATGCGTTGGTCACCACTCCCGATTCCTTCGAGGGTAAAACAAAAAATGCGGGTGGACTTCATCGAGGGCATTTCAACCATGGGCGGGGTGGGTGACCCGGCGGCAAAGAGCGGGCTCGGGATCTACCTGTACGCGATGAACTCTGACATGGGCGACAAAGCGTTCTACAACGCGGACGGGGAGATGCTCCTGGTGCCTCAGCAAGGATCTCTCCGTGTGAAAACAGAGATGGGCATCCTGCTGGTAGTCCCCAATGAAATTCTGGTGATTCCCCGCGGTGTGAAATTTAGTGTGGATCTCGGGATTGCCGAGTCGGGCGCACGCGGCTACGTGCTGGAGACTTTCGAAGGGCACTTCCTGTTGCCTGAACTAGGACCCATCGGCTCCAATGGGTTGGCGAACCCACGCGACTTTGAATCACCGGTGGCATGGTATGAGGACCGGGACGTACCATATACGGTCCTGACGAAGTTTGGCGGGAAACTCTTCTCTTCTGCCATGGACCACTCCCCGTTCGACGTGGTGGCCTGGCACGGCAACATGACGCCTTACAAGTACGACTTGCGGAAGTTCATCTGCATCAATTCCGTTTCGAAGGACCACCCGGACCCTTCCATCTACACCGTTCTGACGTGCCCGTCCGCGGCAACCCCCGGCGTGGCCGTCGTCGACTTCGTCGTGTTCCCGCCACGCTGGATGGTGGCGGAAGGCACCTTTCGGCCACCATGGTATCACCGGAACACCATGACGGAGTTCATGGGCATGGTATGGGGGAAGTATGACGCGAAACAAGGTTTCTTGCCGGGGGGCTCTAGCCTTCATCCTAGCATGAGCGCGCATGGACCCGACGCCGCAACTTTTATCGGGGCCTCGGACGAAAAAAAGGTACAACATGCCGTGATGCTTTTGGTTAGAACCCATGTTAGCTGCACGTAACGCAAGAAGAGTGTCATCCTCGCTTTGCGACAAGACGATCCGTATATACCACCATCTATGCCACAGCGGTGATCGATCATTTCAAAGAGCTGCATTGTGAATCGCCTGAATGACAGGCGCCTCTTCCTGTGAAGTTTGACAAGGGACTCGCGTTTATGTTCGAGACGAAGTACCAGCTGAAACTGACAGCGTCCGCGACGGAGGGGAAACACCGCGACCAGGAATACCTCGAATGCTGGCGTCACTTACTTGCCCAAGAACTTCACCCCAGATGCCAAGTGAAACCGTTCATGGCTCTTTCGAGCTCGGGGAATGCAGTAGAGCTTGTCATCAATTTTGAATTTTCCTTTTCTTCGCGAGGGAGGGTACCAAGAATGGCGTGGACAGAACTTTGACGTCTACAGACGATCGATCATGATAGGCGTGACATGTACGCAGATATAGTTCCGGAAGATATTGACCATTTTCGAAAATTACTGGATTTGTGCTGTTGTAGTGACAATGGAATCAAGTGCACCGAGCAAGCATTTCGTTCCTCCGACTCGCAGGATTCTACGGATGATAGCCGCTGCGTTCTGACCAAGGGACGTTGCTGCATTCACCGTTCAGGGGTGCATCCCCCTACCACCCATTCGTTTTCAGTGCAGTTAGCTGTGCTAAGCTGTCTTCGCGCTGTTAGCGGTGTCGTCGACCGGTGTCTTCGGGGTGTACACTGGGTTGAAACGTTGAAACAGTCCCTACCTAATGCTTGCTCCTATACTTTTCAAACGACGGCCTATTCTTTCAGGACGAACGATGAGGTGACGGGACAGCGAAAATCGCTGCTTACGCCTGCATCGCAGTGTGCTGACTGTGCTATCGCTTCAAGAAGGAAACTCCTGCCAAGGGGTGGTGCTCTCAAACAAAAAGAGCGTGTGTACCACGGTGCAGTGGGGCTCTTTGACCTATGACCAAATCCCAAAATACTCTTTTTGTGATGATCTGCGCGCAATTGTGATGACCCCCACGTAACGACCACTGTGCGCGATCGGTCTCACTCTCGCTTGCCACCACTGTAGTACTTCATTTTTCACCAACGAATTACATCCTGAATCAGCTAGGTCTATCTCCTGCCACTTGATTGCATCACGTCTGTTTTCTACGTTTTCCCTGCCCATTACTGCTGCTCCATGTATCCCATCCCGTCCCAACTTTTTCCCCGCACAAACTGGATTGCTCGAATCGTCCAACCCGCACTCTTCTTGCTTGGCAAGCCTCCCTAATCCCGCTCCCGCTTCCCGACTGATATCCGGGAGTATTAATGACGTCCCGAACTTCTCCCACCAATGCTATCCTCCTGGTTCCAAGGAAGTGGTGAACAGCACTCACGCTGAGAACCGAATAAGCGGGCTGGAGCCCCTTGATCAGCACCAACGAATAGAATTTTCATTCCACACAACGCAGTCTCCCCAAACGTAGTCTCCCTACACCCCGACCCATCTCGTCACCTCTCGTTCCCGCAATTTCGGGGACCAGCAGTCTATCAAGCTTTAAACTGTTTAACACAAATCAGCCACGACAACAATTATAGGGTGACTCCTAATCAGCGTTGGATGTACAAAACATCTGAAAACATCTACATTTGAAGGCCAGGCCCATGACCTCGACGACAAAGAACAAGACGGAGTTGCATTTTTCGGAAAGGCCTTACACTGGAAGAGGAATGGCGAAGACGGCGAAAAAATAACGTAAACCTTGGCGAGAAAGCCCCGCCCCGCCACCCCGCCTTCACTCTTCTCGACATCCTGAATGAAAATGCCCAAATAGTCCCTTGCCGTTCTTAACATGCTCCAAGTCGACACAGCACATCGTTACGTTGCTCACGGTGCAACCCATAGCAACTTTTTCGTGTCAAGACAAAAAAATCCCGGTTCTTTCAAATCCGCATAACTTCACTCCTCGCGTCAGAAATAAAGACGTCGAATGGACCGGGCGTGTATACCCTTTCTGCCCAGGTATATAAAAGCCACATTCCGTTTCACAATTCACTCTTCACTGAGCCGAAAATTCATCAAACAACACACAGCGGAGCCATCTGTCTATTTTTTATGTACGACTAGAGCATCATGGCAACCACCGTTGACGCCACCCCTGACAACACGCCTCCGACCAACAACACCCAGTGCATCGCCTGCTTTCGGGGGCTGTCGAGCTCGCCGAAGAGGCTCATGTGGAACAGCATAGGGTAGACGAGGGCTAGAGGCACCGAGCACAGGCCTCCCACGATGCCGGTGAAGCTGTCGAAGCGGCTGCCCGCCACCTGCCACGCCACAAGCAGCAGTTGCACAGCGTTGCGTGCGGATCAGACAGATACAGAGTCAGGTTTCGGTTCAGGCAAGGACATAGGGAGGTCGGAAAAGACGATTCCAAGCAAAAATGCTTCTAAGCGGCTCTTCCTGGCTTGGCCGAGTCGTTTTGGTTTGCAAAGCGCCGCATTCGGCGATTGTTCAATTCGACCACACCACTCCATTGGTCTTACTACGCGATGGACTCAGCGACAAAAAGAATGTGCGACAACGATGATTGCCAGCCCCTTATAACGATGGACTTCGCTCACGGACCGTCCGCTCCGTGCAAAGCAAATTCTCTTGTCGCATTGAACAAAACGCACCAGCGCCACGAGGACGGTGAAGACCACCACCACCGAGCGAAGCAAGTTCTTGAGCCACTTCCTCGTCCGGTCCGGCATGTCCTTCTTGGACCCACCCGGCGCAACCGGCCAAAAAATTCTCTCGAGAACCTGGTGTACGCGTGCCGTGGAGTTAAGAATAAGCCACACGATGCCTACATGGCCACCGGGCAACCACGACTTCCGGACGTACGACATGTGACTACAGCTTACGACACACGGCGACAAAATTGAGTGTGCCTCACACCAACAAATCATTCAGCTAGATACACGTTCCGGGGGGGATCTGCGAGCTGCTGGCCCTCAAGCACGCCGACAGAAAATCAAACAGTTTACGCGCCAATCCGTGCATGATTGCGCACGCATCATAATGTGATTATTTGGAGCCAACATTGTTCCGGAGCCGTTCCAAAACGAGTTCAAGTTCCGATGACGGCCACTAAAGGACAACGAGGAAAAGCGGCCACCAAAGTGTGAGCAGCAACAGAAGCAGCTCACGAATCCAATTTGCGGTAGCCGTGAAAGACACGCTACAACAAAAGGAAGTAGCATATTTGCCAACTGCCCTGCCCCTCTCCAGCCTATCCCCAAACTCTCAAGAGAGTTTAACTGACCTTGATGGCGGGGAAGAGTTGAAGGGGCGACGTCAAGATGAGGCCCACGCTGTACATAACCCGCACGATCGTTGCAGCCACCGTGTCCTGGGGCAAATCCTGCAAGAGAAAAAAGAATAGCCGTCGTGGCTTAGCTACATAGCATGAGCTTTGCGCAGGCCGTGTTGATCAACTCTTTTAACAGCCATAAAAAACAAACTGGGATACTATGCGTATGTACTGTAGTTTCTAAGCATTACACGGCTTGGTGACCGCGTGTCGTGCACGTCGGCAAGGGAACCCATACGTCAATGCCCAATGCTCTCATGGACGACGCCCATCCTCTGGCGGAGTCTGGGAGTTGTTCCATAATTCTCCTGGTTTCTGCTTCGGAGAACCCGATCGGTAGTGGTTCTCTGAAGACAACCAGTGTTGCGAATCGATGTGTTTGTCATTTTTCCCGCTGTGCGAAGAACAGGACAGAACTGAAGCCCTTCCTCTAAATAGTCTTCTCAGCCCCCTCACACCCTCTCACCATCGTTATGAAGTTGGCCACCTCTTGCTCGTAGGTGAGGTACCCGGCCGCTCCGAAGATGACGAAAAAAGTAGAGATGCCGACCATGGTCCAGCACAGCGCGGCCGGCAGCCGGTGTCGCACCTTCAGGTCCATGGCGTCCTGCTCGGTTGTCCGACGCTCGTACGAGTCAGTCTACATGACTTGCTAACCATACAATAGTGGCCCCGGCGTAATGCCGGTCGCCCGGTGTAATGCCGGTGAAGTCGTCTGGCACAGATGGGATATTAACGCTGTTTCATACTCTCAACAATGCCGGTTGCCCGCAATAATGCCGGTGATATCTGCTGGATTCCACCCGCATCATACCGGGACCGCTGTTATATATTGAAGCTTGTTGGCGGAGACATTGACCGAGAACTGATGCCGGGGGTTTGCGTGACAACAACATACTCGGCCTCTTGCGCAGATAGAAAACCTCATCACATATTCTCGCGGTGGTGTCTATTTAGGTCTTGTTTTAAGATATTGCCCATCTACTGTGCGTAGCGTGCGCAAATATCGTGAGGTCCCCTGGTTGACATCAACATGGACCAGTGGCGCGGTGGGAGGCAGCACTAGTTACCACCTACCCGTTCGAGCCGCTTTAAGGAATGACGAAGCTGAAAAACTCCGACCGACTGTATCACAACCCGACGTTCCCTCGCTGAAACTGGCAACCGACGAAAAATTCGTCTCAAACGACCGCCTGTTTCAAACATTTCGTCGCACGCAAGCTACTGGTCAGCTTAACGCTCCTTCCGCCAAAAAATGCCTAATCACGACACGGAATTCCCTCTGTACCGCAGGTTGCATAAGATATCACACCCCCTGGACCGATTTTCAAAGCTCGATTACTCCACGACGAAGAGGATGCCGAAATCGAAGTATACGTTTTCGGAAAGCTCTCGACGAGACGGTCCCAACGCCGCCATTTTCGGCACCGTCAATGCTTTTCCTGCCGAGATATCGAGCTTCGAAAATCTGTCCAGGGGGTGTGGCATCTTACGTTATGCGATCTACGGACGGCCCCGCCTGAATCGCGATCACCTCAATTGGGAGGACCAGTCCGATTCCCTCGAAGCAGCCCACCACGGACCCCAGAAGGATCAGGCATTCCGACGTGTTGATGAGGACAATTCCGCCGGCGTTTTCTGGGGGGAAGGTGTCAATTAACTGGTCCACCACCTACAACGACGGCCAATCAAGGAAAAAGGAGGGGTACAGACACATAAACAGGGTCAACCAGAGAGAGAGAGAGAGAAAGCGAGAGAGAGGGACGGAGATAGAGAGAAATAGAGTGAAAGCGAGAGAGAGAGAGGAGAGAGAGAACGATTGATACACCGATATACACGGAGAGGGAGACAAAACACAGAGAGAGAGATTGAGACGACCAGAAAGAGACAACACAAACATACACGGGTTTCGAAACAGACCAGGGTAGGGGGTGGCTGTTGAAACGCAGACACAATCGACAGCATCATCACCATGGGTTGAGGGAGGCAAGGAGAGACACATAGGTCGGACGGGTCTGACGGCGAGCTACCGTTTTCTGAAAGCACGCCAGCAGGGACAAAACAACGGGTTCCGGGGAACAGCAACTATCCCAAGCAACAAAGCGCTGGAAGCGAATTTCTTCAATTTATTGTGTACGCGGTTTCGTGCGAGTGATGTTTAAGGAAAGACTTACCCTGGCAATTTTGATTGCTCTGCTAGAAGTGGGACTTATTTTCGGTACGATACTCACGTCCGTTTGCTTGTACTGGATAGAGGTCAAGGACAACACGTCTCTGCTTCTCTCACCTGGAACAGGATCAGCAACAGCCCTCCGAAAACGCAGATGTTCGCGATCAGCATCCCCGCTCCGAGGTACTTGAGCTGTCTCACCCACGACAAAGGTATCTGTATGCACGCCTGCTCGATGGAAAACCAACAATCGCCCGAGGAGAATTTGTTGGGTCAGCGGCGGAGCAAAGACGGTCCGCCCTCTGTGCTGTGAATGCTTGGTACTTGCCAGAAGGCCGGTAAGAACGACGTTCATAGAGCCTTTCAAGAACCAACTTCGGGGATAGGAATGACTGAATCATCTGCACATCCTCAGCTACGGCTTGCTACCGAGACAGGTATCGGTGATGACGCATGTGTAAACGCCAAGCGAAGGCGTCCGCACTGCGCGATCATGCCGCGCTTGCTCCCGTTTAACGTCGGTGGCCGCAGCAGCACCGTGGTGCACGCAGGCGACGAACCCCGTCGGGCAACCATTCGAATAAAACACATGCGATTACACGCCGATATACCACACGGCTTTTGCAACAGCGAGTGAGTGCTTCGGACCAAACAGTGACACCATGAGAATTGCCAACGAACAAAATCGATTTCAAAACCAACAACCAAGCCCCAATTCTCTCCAACCTTCACCTGAATAATCATGAGCGCCATCGTGCCGGTAAGCCAGGCCGGCTGCGACGGAAACGCCTCCCTCAAACTGGGACCGATGTTCTGCTGTACGAAGATCAGGTACACCACGCAGTAGCCCAGCTGGGACAAAAAAAGGCTCACATCCACTGCAACGTAGCCCACCCTGTGCGTGGCAACCGATATGAAACAGGAGTACGCGGCCGTGGCGGCGGGGGGGGGGTAATTCACCGAGGGATCTCTATGCCCTCGGGATTCACGAAGAGAGGCTTTGCTTGCAGGCCAAACGTCGCTCTGAGCACAGCAACGCGACGCCCTCAACAGCGATGAGCCTGCCCAAATCGCCAATGTTTGTTCCAGTTGGTGCAAAACCTTCCAGAGATCTGCAAAACTAGTCCCCCTAAAAACTTCAACGCAACCCTCTTCTCGACGTTAAACACGAACGACCATTCTCCGGGAACACTGCAGTGTGGAACAACGCTTCGCCGGAGCCCACGCAAGTGCAGTTGGACACATGCCACCTCAACCCCCCGACCGCCCAACGGAGAAGCCGTACACGCCACATCGATGTACCTGCCCACTGCCGCGAGGGCGACTTCGCCGTAGGACACCGTCGGGATGCCTCGCCGAACCAGCCTCTCGCGACAGCGCAGCAGCAGGAGCATGTTGTACCTGCGCGCCGCCCGTTACAGCGCAGATAGCCAGGTGGGGGGTGGGGGGTGGGGTTGCCGAAAAACAAACAACTTTGAGCCAATTCGGGGTATAGAGCTCAAGAAGCACTGACACACGTGCATGTGCGTGTCCTCCCAAAGACTAAAAACACGCCCAAATATGCAAACAATCCAGCCTTGAATGCTCTCGCTTCGTCTGACAACAGCAGCCCATCCGCACGCAGGTCACAATGAAGACCGCCCTCGTCCATATTCGAGGCCAATCCGCCACCCCGCAGCAACAACACGAACTTACGTGGAAGCCACGGAGAGGAGGATTATCGCGCCGGCTGAGAAGACCATCCCTCCCTGGGCAAACATCCGCGGCAGGTATCTGCAGCACCGGAACAAAAACACGCGTGTGGAATCGAGCAATCATCGGCGGTTATGACCATTAGCCGAGGTCGGAAGACCACGACGACCCGCGTACATGGATGGGCTCGACGACTCGGTTGGAGAGCGGGCTGTTTCCCGCCGGCAGCCCGGCAGCACAAATACGAGATGTATGTGTACACTCAGCGTACACTCACGGCGGCAAAGCAAAAACACGGGGGTACAGTATGGCCAGCCCTCGCGCAAGAGCATACATGCATACCGCCCCGAGAAAAGCTGGGATTCTCCCAGTTGGGGAACACCCCACGGCCGTTCTAGCTCTACGTAACCTCAATGATTCAAACATCGCACAACGTGCCCATTGGATGTGTTTTGTTATCTCATAAGAGGTACGCATCGTCGCCACGCTCCGGGCTGAACAGTCGCAAGTCACACCACGTCGGTTCTTCTCGGTTGATTCAACAAAACTTGGTGGGTCGTCGCCAGAGACCGTTATTTCTTGTTCGTGCGCCCCAAGCGCGGCCGCTGCGTTAAAACCCCAAACACGCAAGGCAGGCACGAAAATACCAGGCAGCCCAAAAACGACCATGTACCCAACGGGCGGGAACCACACCAGGGGAGCGAGAGGGAAACGTCTCGGGGTGAAAATTACGCCGCGGTCCGCTTCAAAGCACGGAACCGGTAAACATGGAGGACCATTTATGCGATGAATATGAACTGCCATTTTTGACTCACAAAACGTACGAGCCCACCATCCCCTTCAAGTAGGTGACAACGGTCCTGGCGACCGAGTTTCCTCCGTAGTGGGCTGCTGATGACGAGTGTGCCCGCCTCAAGATAAACTCCTGCCCAAGGGAGGGACGGAGAAAAAGCAAACACACATGGTGCGGCATTTTCGTTGAGAACAAAACACTTGGTGCGGCGGTTGCCGCAACAGCGGCGGGCAGCAAAGCCCCGCAAAAAAGCGCGCTTACGCTGCCAAGTGTGGCCAGAAATACCGCCGAAAAAGGTCGTGCCAGACAACAAAGAGAAGAGTCATACATAGCAACGCACAATATCTCCCGCTGAAGAGCTTCGCCCCCCTGATTTCATCCGCCGTATTCATCACAGCCCGGATCTTTTTGTCCGACCCATCCAACCCGCTTTCCGTGTATGTTGGCACACCAGAAGATCATAGGGAAGGCCTCACCTGCGGCCCCGGCGGCTGGTTCTGCCGTCCCCTCGCACGAAGAACTCCATTGTCCCCGGGCGTAGCTTCCGTCAGCAGCGCGGTACTCATCCCCACACCCTCCTCCTCTTCGTCGGCCCCCCCGCCGCAGCTCCTGTGTGGAGCAGAAAAGCAACTGAAGCTCTTACAATATGAAGAACGCAATAAGCTGAACATGTAGTCGGCGTAATGAAATGTGCATGGGGATCCAACACGTCCTGGGGGGACGAGATGGTCGGTCACTCGTGGTTAAACCGCGCGGACACAATCTTCCCACGAAAACAGGGCTCTTACCGGGCCGTGCCACGGGCACACACAAACCTGCCCGCCGCATACTTGCATGGAACGGCGAGCAAAAGCAGCAGGGGTTCAGAGCCGCCGTCATCATTAACGTCCCTGTACGCCTCTCACGAGCCGCGGAGTGCCGCCAGAGGCAAGACAAGCATGTCGCCAATCCTGCTCTGTGCAGAAAAAGCGGCCGAAAACAAACCCGCGAAATAACCATATTCTCCCGCCTGATGCACTACAGATGCCCCCCCACCCCACCCCTCTAGCTGATGTGCTAGCCTGCTCCGGTGAAAACCAGGCGTGCTCCGTCCCGGCTTTGTAGGGATGCGAGGTCAATGGTCTAACGACTACGGCGTGCACGGCTATGAGTACATCCCACGGTAGAGCGATGTCCTCACCAGTCCCCTCCGGTGGCGTCTTCGAGCAGCGGAGCTTCCATTTCCGACGCGTCCACCTCCGATTCGTCGGAGAAGATTGTGCCACACCCCAACCCGTCGTCCTCCCGGTCATCCGGGGACAACTCGTACCCTCCCCGCCCAGCGTATTCCTAAGGAGGAGGGGGCGTGTGGCGCGACGTGATGAGGGGGGGAGGACACAGCAGTGCTCTTGCTTTCTTTTGAGAAGGTTGATGTGATTAGACTGCTGGTGTCTGAAGTGACACAGCGGTTCGTAACACCGCCATCAGATTCAGGAAGATGGCGAGACGAGTTCCAACCAAACAGTAACATTATTTGTGACGTGGTTCCATGAGGAAAACTGGAAGTTTCGGATTCGATCCAGAGTGAACTGTTCAGATAGAGAAAAAAAAACAAAAAAAACACCAGTCTAAGCACCCACGATGCAGATGCCTCTTGCCATGCGCAGGACCCAACACACGCTCAAAGGATACCTCCTTGCGTTCGTCGCCTCGTCTTCAGCAGATAGTTGTTGACGAACAAACAGGGCATAGAGACCCCAAGCAACCCACTAGACGGCGATATCTTCCAGCGACCACTAAGCCGGAATTTGCGCAGCGGTTTATTCGCCTGCCATCAAGAGTCCGGGTGAACGAAGGAGGTTGCCAGAGTTTCTAAAGGGAATTTCTTTCACGTCTTGTCCACGCCCTCCCGCGCCGACTCATTGCTGCTCCTGCGCGAAGCCGCCCCCCCGTGCGTTCGCAACACGCTTCGACCAACCAACGGGTGGACCACAAATAAGAGTGTGCCGCACCAACAAAGTCCACGAGGGAACACGAAAACGAGGCGGCAGCTGCGCCAGCGGGGAGGAAAAAACAGCATACGCATCAGCATTGCTAGAAGCTCAAACACCGGCGCACCTCGACGTCAGACACCAAGCTTGCCACGAAAGAATGGAGACGCCTCCTCGACACCGACGCCGTGCGCCGCCGCATGAGCGGCAAGGACGGACTCCTCGAGATCCGGATGACGTCAGCGGAGGCCTGCTGTTCTTCCTGACGGGGTCCGTGCTCCGATCCCGAGGTGATCGGCCGGTCCTCCTCCAGAAGCAACCTTTCCGAGCGGTAGCGCGTCAAGGCAGCAAGAGAACGCCAACACGTCACGGGAACGATGGGTTTGTTATTCGAAGTCGTACTCGAGCTGCTGAAGATTTTCGCAGCTGCTGTGCTTTGGAGCAACTTGCACACCACGGCGGTTTATTGGGGAAGAAGCAGGGCCGACCACCGCAAGACAAAAGTAGCTCAGCCCGCGTGTGGGTCTCCTCGCAACCGCGTGTTGAGCGCATACGTTTGCGCGGCTCCAAGCGCTGGTCGGTCTCCTTCGGCTGCTGCTGCTGCCTCTGCTGATGTTGTTGTTGTTTTGTTATCATTTGAAAAAACGTGTCTGATCTCTATCATACGCGGAATCAGTACTTCCAAACGTCCAAACTAGTCCAATTGACGCAGACGCTTTCCGTGGTCACACACATCAGGCTGTCGGATTCTCTCGAAAATCCCCCACTTCTTTCAATTTTGAAAAGAATGCATTGGTAGATATATTCATATGTAGCTACGCAGAGTAAACAGGAGAGCTTGGGAGGGTTTCGGCCTCTTTCATTCTGTTCTTTCATTCTGTTGTTGAAATCAGATTAAATAATTCTCAACGGAGAGGCGCACACATGAGGACATGATTTTTTTCGGGTTGGACCGCAAAAATGCAACCAACCCTGAAAAGGTTCGAGTTGACAGCAGCACGCTCTCCTGGAAGTGTCAAGAGAGCTCGAAGAAAATCATCATCACAATCAAGTCGCCCAAGAAAAGTCGTTCTTCGGCAGGCCTCGCGTCCGACGTATGTAGAGTACGTATGCGGTACCTTAGCCTTGACTTGCGTTATCAACGGTCACATGTCTCGAATTTCAATATTTCTGATGAGCTTCGAAGCCGACAGCAGATATCTCGGGCCCGTGCTGCTGTGCTCGCCAATAGAGAGCATGTGAGGATAGCCATCCCCGGGCAGGCCTCAAGCTGTGTTCAAGTGTTGAAGTCCCACGCAAGATTGCAAGTTCCCAGACTACTGCAGTGTTAAAGCTGGGCCTGGAGAGTGTCAATCTGAAGAAGGTGTTTGTTGAAGTCCGCACTCTAGTTTCTGTGACGCCGTGCGGTACTAAACAAGCTCCTATAGAGCAGGCACAAAGATATCCGCCTTCTAGCTGGTATTTCGGTATAGGTTGGCCGGTTGAGTTGTCCCGGGGAAGTACGAAGCACCAGAGGTACAAGCTAGCCTTCCGGTCGCTATGTACGGATCACCAAGAAGGGTTACGACGAACCGCAACACCAAACGTCACCGCGGCGGGTCAAAGGGTTAAATTTATATTTCAACTAGAGGATGGGTCCAAGTTCACGATAACGTAGAGACCGGTGACCTTGGAAGGTTGTGCGCAGCGACGAAAGCATGCGCTTACGTCCCAGACGTACGAATCTGGAGCTACGGAGAGGTGGTCAGGGAAACGTACGTTGGCCGAACCTTCCCAAACGCTTGTTCTAAATCGCGCACCTGGTCTGACTTCGAGGTAACCCGAGCTGGCCTTCTTCTGGTCCATCCCCGTCTTCTTTCGCCGTGCAAGAAGGCTGAGAGCCTTCATCGTCGTCCATATTGCGAGCCTACGACCACGTGCTGTTGGCGTGCTGCTATCTTGGTCGACGAGACAGAGAAAGAGACCCAGCTGTCTGCACGACACAGACTGAACATATCAACTTGATCAACTTGTGCGGGGGGCATCGTGTGATCGCAGCAAGAGACAGCAGTGTACGGGGGGGTTGTTGGTAGATGTGTTCACAGCCACGGCGACCCCGCACCTCCGGCTCGCGGGCAAACGGGCAAATTACTACGGAGTTAATCTCGGAACAATGCAATTTGCGGCCCACCAAACCTTCGCACCCCGTGGAGCAGGCGGTAAACCATGCGGCCATTTCGATTTATTGGATATCTACACCAGTTCCTACCACGTGGATACGCCCCCCACCCGCTCTATATACAAGCAGGCAAGTGTTTTATCTTTTGGAGATCAATCTAGGTGGGCACAGAACATGGTCGACGCATCACTTTGGCCCGCGGCAACACACGACCGTTTCGATACTTCGGACGTAAGGATGTGTGATGGTGGCAGCGAAAGTCTCCTCGCATCTGCAGGAAGAAACCTCAGAGCGAGCGAAGAATGACAGAAACAAAGTGCGCAAATCCCGTCGTGTGTACCTCGTCGTGCCCAAAAGACAGAAGAATCTTGCGGCGCTTTCGTGTGTGTCTTTTATCATATACCCCAGATACAGAGAGGCTATCTATCTATGTACATCGACCGCTTTATCGGAAGATGAAAGTAATGCAGAACGCTCTCGCGCATCCAAAGTAGTAGCAGCCATAGCAAACACGCGCAGCTTTCTTCTGTTATTGCTACGGTATCCGTCTTTAACGGAGAGAATAATAGCGTATACTCCCCCATGACGCTCGGTCACAGAGTCCCGCATTGTGGTCTATCGAAAATTCTGTGTTCTCCACCGCACTATATATCACTGACGTCTTTTCATTGTGGTCAGCCGGGTATTCCCATTACTTTTTGGCAGGTCCTCTCCAGTCATGTGGCTCAAACTCTTTGCTCTCTTCCACGCCATGATTCCCTCGTCGATTGCTGTCTTCTTGGTCTTTGTCGTGTCCTCCCGCTACGGTTTTCCCTCTCCTCCTCCTTCATCGCTGCCAAACGATTTCTATTCATTGTCATCACGATCGTATTCATCTGCACTACTTAGACCCCAACCTATTTGGCCGTGGTGGAAACTGGTCGATCAGTAGGTCATGACGTTTGAACACATCACGTGCTCGTACCGACAGAAAACGAGCCAGCTCGAAGGTAAACCGTCTCACCGAATCCTGTTGATATGATAAGCCTTGTTTCGTAGTCGAAATTCCCCGTGCAACAGGCATCGTATGCTAAGTGGTGCGGGTGCTTTGGCCCCGCACATGTATGTATGTGCCGTTAGTGTACCGGAGAACGCACGAGCCAATCATATCGCAACCCCGTGCGATAAAAACCAACAACGATGATCGCGCGGGGATCGGTAATATCGTCCGGGTGTGCGGCATCACCGATACCGAGTGCCCCGAGTGGTTCCGGGACACTCACTGCGCCGGAGGCACCGTGAAAGATGTTGTAGTATAGGCGGCATCGCGTACACATGTTGAAATACTGTGTTCTATGGGTGTGGCATGTTGAGTATCGCACGTGTTACTGGAGTTTTCGCACGCGGGGTTGGTGTGCGTCGAAAGCACCCAATACTACTGTACATGTTGATTGTTGGAAACTCCTAGAGCCGGAGTTATGTGCCGGGTATGCCCGTAGTTGTGACAGTGACGAGAGAGTCTCGTTGATGGCTTGTATGGCATCCGCAGTGCAAAGGCAGGACAGGCAGAGAGGGAAGAGAGTGCCCTACACCCTACACAGGCTGACGCAGCATGGGGGCACCGTTGAATCATTCAAGTCTTCCACAGCAGGTACCACGACAAGAATATTGAGCCAGATGACCTTCCACACCACAAACGCCGGAGGCTCAAGTAGAGAGTTGCCCAAAAGGAATGATAATTTTATTTTTTTTAGGAGAGCAATGCACACAAGGAAGAGCGGGGAGAGACTCTCGAATCACATGCTCATAGGCATTTGCCAAAGAACATTCGGTGCCCCGCGGCTCAACGCACATGCCACGCCGGTGGGGACAACACCAAGCTCAACTATGAGAGGGGTGAAGAGGTCCTGCAGCAACGGGTCCATGGGCGTCTTCCGAGAGGAAAGGGCCTCACTGCCACAAGTACAGAGTATTTGAAGAGTGCGCCCGCGGTTCCTTCTAGTCGTGAAACAACTGAATTGTGAAAGACCCGTTACAGAAAGTGCCCGACAGTAACGTGTCATCACGACTGACAAGTGCGTGAGAAGTGCGGAGAAACAACTGAGATGAGCGCCCCTTGGCTAGAGAAAAGTAATTGAGCCACAAACCATATCTATTGAGCTACTGCCGGTGTTCGCTGACCGGTTGGTCCTGTGTCCGCTGAGCAGACAGCCCAGAAGCGGACTGACAACAGGGGAAGGCGGCATGACAGGCATGAGAATACTGTCCCCTAACTTCTTTATTAGAGCTCGGAGTCCCTGTAAAACGCAGCGGTGTGAGACCCCGAGAGAAAATGATTTCTCCACGGAGAGCAGAAGACACTTCATAACATTGACTCACTCTAAGCGTACATCCGCCCTCCACCCTCACCATTTTCCCCACTCGCTCCCAGGCTAGAGCAGCTTCAGGCCGCGAACAAAGCCTCTGATGGCGGCCCTGGTAGTCGACGAAGCCGGTGGTGAGCCACCCGTCCTCCCTGGAGACCCGCCGTCTCCGGTGTGGTGGCCGCTCGAGGAATCTCTGGTCGCCCGAGGCAGCCATCTACCGATCTACACCTTCGCGTCACAGCTTGCCGGGGAACACGAGTCCTTGCTGTTCGATGGTGACCGAAATGACGGTCAAAGCCGCGAGTTACCTTCACCAGAGCAAGTTGCTGACGTCGATTTTCTGCGCGGGTTGAACCTGCGAGGGCTCGAGGCCGGCGGGGCGGCTTACGCCCCACTCCGGAGGTTCATGGTGTCTCCAGCAGCTGCAGCAGCTGGCGGAGGTAGAAGGTCAAGATACGACGAGGACAATCTACCAACCCCCGCCACGCTAGTCGCAGACCTCAAGGCGGGCGACAATTTCAAGAGTGCCATCGCCGACATGAACGATGACGGTAGCGGCGCCCCCCTGCCTTACCTGGGTTACATGGTTTTCGCGTGCGCCGACGAGGTTCACGAGGACGACGAAAAGCAGTACGTTTTCGCGACTTCCGAAGAATTAGCAGATGCGATAGCGGATGCAGAATATGAGGTAGTCCACCCGGCGGCCGGTGGAGGTGATGTGGGAGCTGGAGCGTACCGCGATACCAAGTTGCAAAGCAGGGCACAGCTCGCCGCCCTGAAGCAATACGTGCTGAAGCAGCGAGTTTTCTATGTTCTGATACATACGGGCCGGAGGCAATATGCTGAGTTATCCGATCAGGATATGAGCTCTAATGTGCTATTTCTGGCGCTGGGGGTGTCGCCCGCGACCGGAAATCTAGTAGGTGTCATCGCAATCCAGGCATGTCATAACATGTGTGACTGAGCTGTACCGTAAGCCGGAATTCAGCTGACCGTGGCCTTGGTGTACCTTGTTGACGTGTTTGAGAGGCTTGGTACAGCTAACTAACGTATCACAGAATGCAAGCATTTCCCGGTTTGCCCAGAGTGTTGTTACGTGTTTGTTTGTTGTTTGTCACTGTTGGTCTAGCCTCTTCTGACCTCTACAATAGCAAAGGTCTCTTTACGACCAATCCCAATCCGATGAGAAGCGAATCTCCGTCTTCACATGGCAAACGGCATCAGGTGCAACCCCAAATCGACACATCGACGAACATACCTCCTCTACGTCCACTTCCGGCTTATCTGGGAAACTGACTAGTATAGTGCCTGGGCTTCCACCATGCTAAAAGTACACACCGCCAGCTCTGGCTTCTCTCTGGTCCGCTCGTCCTCCGGAGCGACTGTTGTTGTGACTCCCACCTTTCACGGGCTTCCGTGCCTGGAATTGGGCCCCTCGTGAGGTCAACCTTCGACTTAGTGTGCAAGCCAACATCCACCAACCCCGTCCCCCAGACAGCGGAGTATACAGCCCGCGTGAACCTCATCCGACATCAGCACCGCCCGCTTCTTTGCTAGTCTGAATGCCCAGAACAGTCAGCAATTTCCCCTGCCGCCTCATCAAGGCCGCCCTTACCGCGACCTTTTCCTCCCTCTGCCCCTCGGTGGCCCCCAGACTACTTTCTACGTTCTCATCCTCCTCGCCGATCCTCCCATCTGTCACGCGAAAAAGCCGTCGTCTTCGAACTCCCAGCTGATGTCGTTTCTCACTTCGCGGCATGCAGTCCTGTCTGGCCAATTTGTCACCGCTCCATCAGCGACAAACTGCGACTGTGTGGATACCAGGTGTCATGGTGTCGTCAACATCTGAGACCTCTGGATTACAGTACAGCTACAGTAGCACCCTTGGTCGTTGTTTATTCCCTTGGTCGTTGGTTTTCGTCATTCGGATGGAAAGCTTCGCCGATAGAGGGTTATCCCCATTCGGCGAATCTGGCTCCGCGATCTCCTTGCCGCTGTCGTGGTCGTGTTAGTTGCTCCCCGTTGTTGCCGCCAACACCCCCGCCGATGCTTTCGTCTGATGAGGGCACAACAGATGATCTATTAATCCTCTTTGGTTCCAAGGCCAACAGGAAAGACAAGTGACTGGAAGACGGCAGAGCTCTCTTCCAAATCTTGGGGCGGTACGGGGTTATTACCAGACACAAGCACCAGCCATCGTGCGTTAACTGTAGGGAGAAGATGCGGAGCGGGTGGGGGGGGGGACAGAGTCACTTGGATAGAGTCTATTGGAACTACAGCGTGCGTTGACTTTCCTGTAGCTGGTCGTTTGTTTCCACGGGGTAGGCCCCAAGAGGTTCCGGGCCTTATTACCATGTCAGACGGCATCATTCATGTTGTGCGTCCACTCTCGATACGGAAGGCGTCCGCCCTCAAACGAAAATCAGACGAAAAGTGGAAGGATGGAGATCACCTCAAGATCACCACCATCAACAGCAAC